GATTTAACCGCATTACAGTTTAGCCTTATGTCATCAGAAAGCCCTTTGCACAAGTCATTATTCTCCAAAGACTTTAGACTACATGATGCTTCCACTTATTCTTTATTCCTTTTGATCAGAAGTCAGAGTTGACGCCGATGAATCTTAGACCTCATACTTTAAAAAAAATCTCTAATGTCTTAACATAGCTTTAATTTTAACCAAAATGTTAGGAGACGAAACAACCGAAGCTACAAAGGTATGCAAAGGAATACAAAGAGATAAAAGAAATGCCACATTTTGCAGATACTGTATATTATGCCTTTTTTATATTAGAAATGCATTAAAAGATCCGAATAAACAGTTCAGTTATTTTTTTAAAGAAGAAAATAAACATCTTGTTGTCTAAAATGCAATAACAGCAGTAATTTAGTGCCCGCTTGATCTTTTGCAGCTAAAAAAAATCCTTCTAACATCAACGTGTGAAGAGCTCAGGCCTTTCTGCTTGACTTGGTGACTATTTTTTAGATTAGATAGGTATTTAATAGGAGATTTGTTTTTCTATCAAATTTGAACCAGGTGAAGCTGAAACTGCCTCTTGAGTTCTGGTTAGAATATATTTACAGACAAATGGGGGTTTTTATTGGGGGGGTTAAATCTTAAATGCAAAAAGTATATATGGTATTTTTGTACAGTTTTCACTTGATTTCTGCTCAGTGTGTTGCTTTATACAGAAAATGGCTTTTTTTGAATCCAGTTATCAATGAGTCAATTACTAAATTAGTTTATTTTTTTTCAATAATGGATTTATCACAATTAATCCGATTAATCGTTTCATCTCTAAAATATCTTCTTTTAGCTTTTTATGTCATTGTTTTTGCAGACAAAGACTCAGCTAGAATCTGTGTGTGCAAATTAAAGCTTTACGAGATTTGGAGACCAGATATTGGTAATTAAATTCTGATCGCAGCATCTCTAAATGATCTTAAATCACAATGCATGTCCGGCGGTTCTGAAACCTGCAGAGGTCTGAACTCATCGACTCTGAACTGCAGCTGATTTACTGTTGTCTCTAAGGACAACTACAACTTTCTTATATATGTTCATATTAAATTTCACAGTCTGAATTATCGTCCCGGTGTGATACAACCAGCCAGTGGCACTTTGATGGAGCTAGTAAAACGGTCAGAGGTTATTTACTGCGGCAGTAACAGCTGACGTATGGGCGTTTAAGGAAAATAAAAGCCAATTTTGACCTTAGCCAACTAGTTTTGATCAAAACAAGCTGGTACCAGCCTCTGGAATTGGATGTTTTAATGAAAAGCACCCAGGCTTTATCCACACAGAGGATTTGATTTACTTGTTTTCTGTTTGTCAAGATTTTGCTCTTTCACAGAGTTACTCCCATGCCTCTCCATCAGACCCGGCCACCTTCCTGCTCTTTTCCCCGCCGCTCCCCTCGGAGAGCCAGTCAGTCACCAGAGCTCTGCCGCCTTTCGCTTGACTCTGCCCAGTCCAATTATAGGGGGCCTTAATTACCGAGCCTGTCAGCCTCCATCAGCAGATCCATTCGTCATGTGGAACTGGGCTGGACCGGGCTGAGCAGGCCTGCTTTACTTTGGGTTTGGTTTGGCTCGGTGCGGGTGGAGGGGGACACGCACGTCTCTCTGCTTCCCTCGGGACTGGTAGAACTTGATTATCTGGACTGGACTGAGCACGTTCCTTTATTTTAAGTACGCAACACTTGTGAGAACGTTTCTAAACATTTCTGTTTGGATGTAAAAGCATTTCCTACCCGTGGAAACGAAGTCAGTTCAGCTCATCTCAAGGTGCTTTCCAAGTCAAACCATCCAATTCAAGTACAGGAATCAAATCAGTCCAGTCATACAGAAACGTTCAGATACAAGTGCTTGCATTTTAATATGGACCTAATATTTAATAGGGGTGTGGAGGTGGGCATTTATCGTATCGTTTTGATACAAATTCAGATTCATTGTTGTCACAATGAATTCCAATTTATGTTTTTAAAAAAACCCAAAAGGTATTGTTTGGATTGTTAGTTTTACTATTTCCGCCATAGTTTGTTTAATGAGAATATCAATAAATGTCAACCCTTTTGAAAACATGATTAATTGCAGTTACTGTGTGCAGTTTAGTGATACAAATCACACTTGTTTATGTGACTGGTGTCCTAACGAAGCTTGTTGCTAATGGAAATGTCTATCAAGAGCGGTATTTAAAGCTGCATGTGGGGCTGACTGCTGTGTCATGTAGTCACAGCCATACAGACCTAAAAAAAAAAAAGGAATAAGTACTATTTATTGTCTTTTCTTGTCATTATCACAATAGTACTGAATCACACAGGTCCAGTTAAAGTCCCATTAGACTCCACAAGTTTATTGTTGTAATTCTAGGCCAGAAAATAAATTTTTCTTTGGGCATCAATGAGAAAACAAACTGTGGTCCAGTAGATGGCATTTAATGGACGTCATGGAGATTTGGGGAACCCAAGATGAACAGTGAACTTAAGCAAGTTTTTTTGTTTATTTATCGCTTCAGTCACAGTTTTGGTTCATTTGAGCTTTTTACACGTTGCTCGAACTGTAGAGGTAGACCCCTTTAGGTATTTCCTGAGTAGCAGAAGTCTCAGGAAATACCTGAGATTTCTGCCATTAAAGACCATTAAAGAAAAACACTACCTTTGTGTCGCATCATAATTATACCCCAGGCACATTATTTACTCATTTAAAGTTCCTATACACTTTGACAACCTGACAAATAAAAGCATAAATTCTGAAAAAGCGCTTTATTTACATTTATTTTACAGAAATTATTGAGTAGGACCAATCAAAACGATACATTTTAATTGGTCCTACGTTGTTTTTCTACCTGTTATTTAGGCCATATTTGTCAGTGTCCTGCTATGAGCTGCTTGCGCTGCGTTTGGGCTGCTGCCTGCTGAAGACCATTTCATTTCAGTTTGAAGTGTCGCAGCTCTTTACTCGGCTCTGTCTGATTCGGGGCAAACAGGATGAGTACATCTTAGTGTTTTATGTTTCATCTGTGTGCGTGTGTGGTTTCTTCCTCCACTCGCTACCTCAAGTCCTCCTCTTGTCCTCTCGTCGTCTGAAAAACAGCGTGAAGGAGGTTATAATTGGGAGGTCCAGAGCTCTGCCAGGTGGAACCACTCGTATCTGAATGCAGGCTCTCGCTTCTCTCTCAAGATCTCATGTTTATTATACCTCTGCCACTCTCTCCTACTTCCTCCTCTGTTTTTTTCTGCTACTTTTTCCCCGTCTCCGTCAGACGTGCGCCAGTCTTTATACGCTGATGAACCGGTTCATGCTTCGCTACCGGCTCATGGTAGCGAAGCATGAACCGGTAGCTTTTGAAACATGTTGAGTTTTTATGTTCTCTGCTCACTCGTACACAGAAGAAACGCAACAATACAGCTCCTCCTTCCCCCTTCAGACCTCCACCATCCGACCCCACCGCCGCTCCTTTTAGGAACTCGCCAATCATTAAAAGATAATCTCAAAAAACAAGATGGCCGTTCTGTTACCTGTCGTCCTCTCTTCCTTCTGCTTCCTCTCCTCTTCTTTTTTCTTCTCCATAAACCAACAACAGTCTTAGTGTAAATTGCTTTAAATTAAGTTTAATCTCTTTTTTGTGTGTCATACGCCTCTTTAGCACTATTCTTCTGTCACCTTTTTGTTTAATTTAAACAGTTCCACCTGACTATTATTTTTTGACTGTTGCAACGTAAAAATATAGGGTTTTTTTTCTTTAAAGTTGGAGTCAAAATTTGCCATATTTGCTATAACATCGTCATGGCAAAAAAAAAAAAAAAGACAGGACTTTAGTATAGTTAATATTTAAAGTGTTCAAGTATCCTCTTGAAATTGCATCCTTTATACAAATAAAACTAGAAAATTAGCATTTCCATGAAAAAATGGAAGTGTGAACGCTGTAAGCCAACGCTAACTGCTGAAAACCGCAGAACTATTTGTAGTTAACAGAACTACAAATAGTTGCTGAAATGTAACAAGCAGAAGCTGGAGAACGAAGTGAAAAACAGTCGTCTTCAACAGCAAAACATTTATCCTTAAAAGCTAAAAGTTAAAGCTAAAACTCGAGTTTAGCAGTTTAAAAATCACCCTTGATCACATTATTAATCTGTTGAATATTTTGAACAGTGAAGAGAGTAATGAGCCTCTCTAGTGCAGTAAAAGTGCTCTGTATATATGCTATAGCTAATTTTTTGTTATTTAGCTAACGTTAGCCAACATTTAGCTGTTTAGCTCGCATTAGCTGTTTAGCTAGCATTAGTTGGTTAGCTGGCATTGGTTGTAAAAAGCTAATGTAATCTTGAATGTTGTAAGAGGTCATCAAGCAGGAAGTTAAATTAGAAGGTAGCTAACGGGATTGGTCAAACTTCAGCTGCTTTTCTGAATGTCACAGAAGGAAATCCAGAAAACGTTCAGGTGATTGGTCAGAATTGCGGAAAAGCTGCGATGACCACCCAAAAATGTGCAAATTGTGAATGAGTTTGCATTAACAGGTGTGATTACAATTTCCTGCAGAGACTGTTTAAGGTGTTTTCACTGATGAGTTTGTGAGTTGTGGTAGAGACATGTAGGTCATCAAGTCAGGTTTTCAGCAGAAAACTGATGCAGAATCCAACTTTACTCTCTGGCTGGGCATACAAAGGATGATTTATGGAGGCCGCAGATCTTTTTTGGTCTGATGAGTGATACGGTTTGCTTCTTATCTCAATGTTTAGTCTGCCTCATTGCACAACAGCAATCAAAGATTTATTTTTCTAAAGAAAGCAGAAGATCATGGCATTGTTCTCCCTGCTGTTGTTCTTCAAAGCATATTCCCCAACCGAGCTTGTTGACTTCAAGCCCAGGTCTGTTGTCATGATGATATAGAGAGCCGATGGATGATTAGGAGGCTTTTAACATTTATCGGCTTTACATATCACTCACCCCTCTCCTCCATTATTCCTCCTCCTCCAGGTGATCGACGGGAAACTGGCCCCCTTCCTGTCCAAGGTGATCAAATTCGCCAGCTCCCACGTGTTCGGCTGCAGCCTGTGTCGAGAGAAGGGCTTCATCTGCGAGCTGTGCCAGAACGGACAGGTCATCTACCCCTTTCAGGAGAATGTCACGCGAAGGTACGCATCCATCCAGAGCCCTCAGCTAACCCAGAGAGGTCGTGTTTAATCACGGTTTAGACTTGATATAAGAGGTGTTGATAGATCCCATATAAACAGTTTCATCATTTCTGTGAGCTAAAATAAGAACTGACTGATTATTTATCATCATAAAGCTCCTGTTTCACTATTTTATATTGAAAACAAACAAACAGGACTTTTCCCCCTGGCCAGTAAGGTGTGATAATCTGCGTGGACGTGTCGCTCTAAGCTTTCGCTCTGCGTTTTGTTCATAACACCGGCTGAGTCAGAGGGAGAGGGGATTTTCCTCGACACAGTCCAGAGCCTCGTCTTCATCACCGAGAGTCAGAGAGAGAGACAGACAGCAGAGAGATAAGAGCTGAATAGGAGCGATTCCTGAAAGACGCTGAGCCGTGGCGTGGCGCACACACACACACATTCACACCCAGCTGTTGAGCTGAGTGTTAAAGTGTGAACTGATAACAGCTGGATCTGCTGGCCAGTAAGATTCTGACAGCAGTGAACGGAGCAACAACTAGACCCAGGTGCTCCAACTTAATCTATTTACTTTGGTTGTGTTTAAATAGGAAGCCATATTTGTAGTTTTGATCGTGCCGTAAAAAGACGTCCAAAAAAGACTGCAACAAAGTCATTCATACTGATTTTCATTTTGTTAAAAAAAATTGCAGAAATGGCGTAAAAGTTTTTAACTTAAATTGCTTTGATTAGGACAGTGGAAATTATCAACATTAATACAATACATAGCAGTATATGTAGGAATTAGCACAATATTTAAATTTCAGTCTTTGACCTAAGACTAGGAAGCACAAAATGGATTGTGTGTGGGCATATATATGTATATATTTAGACATATGTAAATGGAAAATTAATTAACCTATGTTTGTTTATTATTTTTTTATTTAATAATGAGGGTCCAACTGAAAATATGGTATGAATTTATAAGTTTCATAAGTTTCTTACTTCTTCCTACTCCTTTTTGAACATGTTAAGATTATTGTACAAAAATATGTGTCTCTTCCATTCATTGTAAATGGGTACATAACTGGTTTGCTTTCAATCAATGCTTGATTTTCTTATTAAAGAATTTAAAATCTGATTATTTGTGATTAATCAATTGTTGAATTCATCATGATTAATTGCTATTAATTTGATTAATTGGATTAATCCGAGTAATTGTTATTAATCGTGATTAATCGGATCAATTGTGATTAATATGATTAATCATGATGAATCTATTGTTGAAATAATCAATTTCTAATTATTCTTATTATTCGATTACTAATTTAGTAATTGAGTAGTCATTAAGTAGCGGATCCTGACTAAGACATGCAATTTGCTACAACAGCACAATCAGAGCAGCAATTAGCCTGAAACGATAAAAAACATATATACAAATATAATCATGATTAATCGAATTAATCGTGATTAATCGGATTATTCGTTTCAGCCCTGATTGACCTCAGTGTTTCCCGGCTGACAGGTGTGACGGCTGCGGCGCCGTTTTCCACGCGGAGTGTCGTCAGAAAGCCCAGCCGTGTCCCCGCTGCGTCCGCAGAGAGCTCCACCACAAGCGGCCGTCGTCCTTCTGGTCGCCCGACGACGACAGCCCCGGCTGCTTTCACCTGCCGTACCAAGACACCTGAGGTCGGCTGCCGCAAGCACAGGGGCCAGGAGCAAACGAGCCGACATGCAGCCGCCACACGGGACAAAGGGCCTGTGTTTTGTTTTGTTTTGGGGTTTTTTTATTCCTGCATCTGCAGGTTGGAGCTCGCTGCAGCTTTTTGACCACAGTACAGATGCAGCTGCGGAGCTTCCTGCGTCGTTCTGTACTGAAGGAGAAAAGAACTGAATGCTGCGTAAGACTCTGCAGGCCCGAGTTCTCGTTGCTCTCTACTCACATCCTCTGCTCCCCATCTTCACTTACCTCCCGCTCCAGGTTAAACACAACAAATCACAGCCGATGACACCAGGAAGTGCAGAAACCTGGCCGCTTGTCGTAACCTCTTAGAAACGAAACCGTTAGTCAGCACACAGGACGACGAAGCAAAGCACAAAATCCGCTGCTTCTCTTTTCCCGACATGAGGAGCCTGCTGATGCTTTTTGATTATTTTTTTTTTTCATCCTAGATTAAAAAATAGCAGAGGAAAATGGATTCATCCATCATGGATTAAAAAGAGAAACAAAATATATCTGCTCTTAAGTGCTTTAAGCCTTCCGAGAATATTGTTGCACTCTGTAGCCTCTAAATCACGCAGAGAATTAGCCATTAGAAATCATAGTGGGGGAGTTGTGTCTGTCTTGAAGCAATACTCCGGTGCTTTTAGGTACCATGAAGGTTGACCGGCGGTAATCTTCCTCCTCCTCGTTCCCACCGTTAAACTGGTCATTAGCCGTCCTGAAAAAGTATGAAATACGGTGTGGAAAAAGTCTTTTTTTTTTTTTTTTACATTCATTTCTAGATAAAGTTGATCTTTTGATAAACTTGTGTTTTTGTCAAATTTTGAATTTATTCCATTTTAAATATCCCATTTTCCTTTGTGAATTACCAACAGGATCCCACAGATGAACGTAAACTCATTCATAAATGCAGAATTTGTTCTTATGGCCACCAGACGGCTCAGTCAAGGTTCAAAACTGGTCCTATGGACCTTTAACTGGGTACGGTTTAGAAACCACAACAATCACTAAAACCTCTTTGTTTTTTTTAATTTCTACAAGAAATTTGTGCACAAATCTCCAGAATGTCATAGAAGCTGCAGGAAAACTAAGGAGATGTTTGGCCAAGAACAGAATTTCTCTAGAAATCTTATTTTCACTAAAAAAACATTTTACACTTATGATAGACAAAAAAAGCACAGTCTACTTTTCCTCTTAGACGGTTTGTTTCTAATATTACATTTCAACTTAGACATTCATTGACTAGAATGTTGTGGCTGATTCCTTAACTTTAGTTTTCATTCTAAATGTTTCTCCCAGCCCTTTATTAGCCTGGTTAGCTGAGCTAGCTTCACCATAAAACACGAGTTTCTGTCTGTAGATGGTAGTAAATGCTGGTCCTTCCTTCGCTCTGAGCCAAAATGCATCCAACGTTTCTAACTCCACGACAAGTAGAGAAATTTTGCCATAACATATTCATCCTTCCTGTTATCTGCTGAAAGTATCGCTCTCTCTCGCAGCCTGAATTGAAAGCAGATGTGTGTCGACTTGTTTTTGAAAAGTGCAGTTTGCTTTTCAACAGCTCAAGTTAGCAACCTGGACTCACTGATTTGGGGAAAAAAATAAATACATTTTTGATATTTTTGAGTCGTCGTCGAAGGCTGATTGATCTGAAAATTGTTTGAGTCCGATCTCCGGTTGATTTGTCAATCCACGTCTACACTTATTTTTTTAATAAGTCAAAGTTTAAAAACAAAACACTGTGTTCATAAAACGATGTCCGGAAAATATCCCGATGATTTCTGGCTGAACTGAAACTTCGTTAAAAATGACTGGAGAACAGAATTTAATTATTTTCTAATTCAAATAATTAACTTCTAAAAATGTGTCTTTTAGGTGTCTTTAACCTGCAAAGCAACTTAAATCAATTTCTAAAATGTCTTTGTTAAAGACCTTTTCTTATGGACTTAAATCGTTTTGACTAAATCTCATTTGAAAAACTTTTTTTTTTTTTTTTGGCAACAAAATTTGATGAATCTGTAACCTTAAATCATTAAAACGATTCTTTAGTCAGGAAGAGGTGTACGTATTTAAAAACAAATTAAGGAACTTTTATTTTCATTTCTTAAGGAGTAGCTGGGAGAAATCAACCATAATGTTTATATAAATTAAATGATTAATAATTGTCACACGTGCAGGTGACTGTAACCAGATTTGGACCTTTCTTGAATCTTCCTGATTTATTGCTTAGATCTTTAACTAAATTTTTTTGTTCTCTCCATTTCCTCATGTAAATGTAAAAGCACGACGACTTGATTATAAAATCCACTGACTGTGCGTTTCGTCCCGGCTGGAAGATAAAAATGTCAATAATCTACTGGCACTCCTCTCCCAGCTGCCTCCGCCTTCCCTTTCCTCCTCTGTGATTCTACTTCCTGTTGTGCTTTGCTCATGCGTAGCCTCTCAGACATGACAGCAGCGTTAGCTTTTAGCATCTCAATGCAACCTGGACGGCCTTTTATTGCCCACCTTCTCCTTTTTCCACATAACCCAGCAGCTGTGACTCATCCGGTTTTCGACCCAGATTTTGGTGAAAACGTGAGCAATTTTAACACTGCATTTATTTTGGTTGATTAATTCCCTGACAGTGGAAAAACATTATTTTAACGGCCCAGCTCCGGTCAGAAAGGCAGGAAACGACTTCAGATTTTTACTGCAGTAAAAATTCCTGTGAATCTACAACTTGTAGGAAGAGATGGCTGGACTTCTGCTGCTCTCAGACTGAAACAAATAAAAACTTAGCTGCTGCTCCGCTGAGACTTTAGTGTTGATCTCTCTGCCGTTGTTTCGCCTTGTTTCATTTGAGCCATAGAAACTTGTCAGCTCGAAGCTCGCTAATGTGAAAATCCTATTTTTTATTTTTGTTTTTTGAGGGGACGCTGCGCGTTTCGCCGTTTCGTATCTTTGAAGTTTTTTTGTCACTTCCAACCCGACTTGCTTTGTTCCGACTCCGGCAACCAATATTAGGATCTTTTTCATGATTTCAGTGAAAAATAATTACCTGAAAGAAGTCACTTTGTTAGTTTGGTTTGATCAGGAATTCATAATCATGACTAATTTATTAGTCATTTGGCCCAAATGGGGGAGGGTTAGGGTTAGATTTTATAAAAGCTAGAAATAGTTAAATTATGGCTTTATTGATAAATGATCACTGTCGTCCATGACAGGAAATCCCTGCAATGATTAATAAACTGCTGCCCTGAAGGTTTAGGACGTAGACTTGAAGTTGTGGGTTGCCAGGTGCAAAATGGAAGAAGCTAGGGACAAAATGACAAAGAATAACTACAAAATGGCCGACATGCTTATTTTTCCTTAAGTTTGATGCATTTTATTTTTTTATTCTTTGGTTTATTTGTTGTTTTGATTTTGAAAATAAAGTGTTTCATTGTTCCTCGCTGAATGTTCATGCTACAAAAGTAAAAATATTGTTTAGTTTTGTTTGTTTTGACTGCATTGTTCCTTTAAGTTGTGTTAATTATTAGTGCTTGGCTGCCTGACGGGTTTCAGGGAAGCTGATTGTGTGTCTGTGTATTTACACCGATTGAACGCGGCATCAAAACGAAGCCATCGGCACCAAACTCCAGTCTTACTTCTACTCATTGTTCACAACATCATGGACGTCATCGTCAGTATTCCAGCGAAATGTGTTCAGAGGACGTTCATGTTGCATTTAAATCAGTTTTATCCAGAACAAACGGGCTTTCTTTAAATGATCAGGATGTTTTTTGATTTTTTTCCAGGTTTTTTTTAGATCTCAGTGGAACCTCAGATGGACGGAGTTAATTTGTAGCACTGTGAAAAAACACAATGTTGCAAGCTAATCCTGTGTCTTTCCCAGGACGGTGGAGCAGAAGGACCCGCAGGCCTCCACTCTTTGCCTCTGTGCAGCTAAAGTTGTGCATCAGATCACTTTATAAGTTATTTCATTTGTATTTGTTGGCACGTTATTTGTGTTTTTCTCAAACCTGCTTTTGCTCGATAGTCTGTTCAACTGGAAATTGTATTTGATTTCAGTTGTTACGGCAAAATACTAGATTGTTTTCAGTTTGCAGCTGAAGATGCTCTTCATGTTTCATTGTTACAAAAGATATGATACGGTATTTAAGGACAGTAGACGGACTGAACCTCTGACCCTTTTTTTAGGTGATTATTGTTTTTGTTTTGTTTTGTTTCTGCAGCCAAACTCTTATGCAAGCACAAGGAGTTGTTTTTCGATCAAAGCAGCTCGTCCTCATGTCTGGTTCTGTATGAATTGACCCACTGATGCCAATAAAAACAAACTTATTAATAGCAGCCAATTTTTCTGCGTTTTAATCCTGATTTGTCGCTTTGGCTTCTGGGATTTCAGTACATTGTTGGTTTATTTTTAATAATAATAAGTGAGCTAACAGCATTGCTATTTGGATAATCTGACTATTTAAGCAAATTGCCTCAAAGATTTTAGATTTGCAAATAAAATGGTCACATTTTCAGAGGTGCAGCTGAAAGCAAGTAAAATGACTTATTTTAGATTAAAAATGTCTGTCTCTGACTAACAACTGAGAAAGGTTAAGTTTTATTTTTCTTTATTTGTGTCAAACATGTGCAATCTTTCTATGATGATGCAGCTAAAATCACAATGTTTTCCCTCTGATGTCAACAATTTTCAGGCCAAGATTTACCTTAAATAATTTGTGTATGCATAACGCAACAAACAAATGTGTAATGAATATTGATTCAGTGGTTTCTCTGTGTTTCACGGACAGTCTGGTCGATGCACACAGTTGTAGTCAGAAAACACGAAATGGTAATACCGCTTACGGCCACTAGGGGCTGGCGTTCAGAGGTCAATTCAAACGCCGTCAGTTGACTCTAAACGGTCCGGTTTTTCTTCTACCATTCATTACGATGAAATTAGGACAGTGTGAGTTAAAACAGCAACAACTAAGTTTCAATGAGATAGTTAAAATCCCTCTATTGTAGCTGCTGATTAAACTCAATGAAAAATATCAACATTAAGAAATAATAGTAAAAAAAAAAAAAAAAAACTCAGCCATGCCTCAGGAAAAATGCAACTCAGCTTTGTTTCTTGTTTAATGCAAACTTTGTTTCTGTGTTTGGTTCCTTTTTTTTAATAAACAAAACGTGCAGGAACTATTAATTGTTAACCCAGAATGTGTTTTTTTTTCCTTTGGAATAAATATGATAGACACCTGTCCATTTACCCCAGCAGCTGTTCAAAGCGACATTTAGGGACGGAGTCGCCTTTGATTAGCAGTAAATGGATCACCGATCAACATATTTGGTGCGTATTGATGATTTTTGATTATGGCACTTCTTGACAAAATGTAATGCTTACCGCTTGTTCATTTGTGTGATGTGAAGCCCTTTAAAAGGCCTTGTTGCTGAATTCAAAACAGTGACTGTGGCAAACCCGGCTGAACAAGGATTCAAGTCATAACACACACTCTGAAGTCACTCTGACTGGTCTTTAATGTTGATTTTGATAGTATTGGGCCTATATTAGACAGCAAGAGATCATTTTACCTCAAAAGCGATATGTCAGAAGCAGGAAAAAATGGGCATTTATAGAGACTGGAGCCAGACTGTGATGTTTGATAGCTGGGTCAGAGGTTAAACCAGAGCTGAAGGTCATTAGGGGCGTTCCCAGCATGCAATGGGTCTGGTCCAAGGGAGGAAATGTTCATTGGCGGCCAAGGCTCATTCCCAGTTCTGACAGAAAGAAAACACTTTGCTATTGGTTGCATTTGGAGCTGAGAAACATTAAGGACGTCCATGGTGAGTCTGTCCACTGCCAGAAACACCAAAAAACGATTACGGTTGGTTGTGTTTGTGTGTCATTTCCCTCAGGAACACGAGGTACCGCTGTGGGGAGAAGCAGTGTGACTGTCTGTGCAACTGAAGCATTTTGTCAGATCACAGATATGCTGTCACGGGAAAAAACGCCTTCCCTGATGGCGGTGGCTCATTACAGCAGAATAAGACGCCCTGCCACCAGAGCAACAATGATGTGGAGCAAAAGTTTAAGTTGGTGACGTTCCCTCCAAATGTCCCTGACCTTAATCCAATCAACCCTCTGTGGAATGTGTTGGACAAACATGTCCAAACCATTGAGACCTTGCATCGGTACTTCCAGGTCTTTAAGGATCTGCTGCTAGCGTGTTGGTGCTAGCCACTACATCCCTCCTGACAGACCCTGAAGGAGTCCATGCCTTGATGGGTCAAGACTGTTTTGGCAGCAAAAGAGGCACCAGCACACTATTAGACATGATGGTACGCACTTTTGTAGATGTAGAAACGTAAGCATCATTAGTTCTTTACATGGAAAACGTCCAACATGTGTATATTAAAAGACAGGCTGCGATTTAAATCTGTGAAGCTCAGACTCCGAGGTCATGCAAAGTCAGGACGCGGCCTCACTGTTTGCTCACATTAGGGCGGGTTCGCCTGCCGTCTTATGAGCTCATCTGGCTCAACTGAGAGGGGAAAACATACATATGTATCTATGTGTGTGTGTGTGTGTGTGTGTGTACCCAAGGGAGTCTGGACATTTTCTGAGAGAGCGGCGGGCTCGGGAGGCCGAACCGTTCGCCTTTTATGTACGTCGAGCAGCAGCCGCAAATTGAAGCTGAGTGTCGACCGCGCTTAATTGTCATCGCCAATTAGTGCATTGTGGGACGGCCACAATGGATCAACTGTAGCGAGCAGAGCGAAGTCCTTTGTGCTTCTCCAGTGGCCTGCGAGCCAGTCAAGACTCATTTGAGGGGCCCGGTCGACGGCGGAGCAGAAATGCCACCCTAAATGAAAACAAAAGACAGTTTAAGGAGGAAAAAGGGGGATGAAGGGAGGAAAACGAAGGCTTTGGGGGGCTGGGGGTTGGATGTGGACAGCGGTTACAGAGGAGGAAAGAACGGGGCCAACACACACACACACACATTTTACCCCCTCACGACATTTTAGTGAGCTTCTGCACAAAAGCTGGCAGGGCCCCAGTGTCCCCAGTGACCTGGTTATTCTGGAGCTTCATCGGCCACATTGAAGCTTTCAGCAGGTTGCGGCAGAGCGGACTGGTTTCAACCTTTGCTACAATTAAAAAAAAAGAAAAAAAAAAAAGTACAAATCCACTATTTTGACCGCTTTTACTTTGAAAAACCCAATATTTGCTATGAAGGGCCGTCACCAAAGACTCGACGTTTGTTTTGTTTGCTTCACTCAAACAAGTTCCAGGTCTCTGCATGTCGCCGACGTGAGTGAGGGAGGGCGAGACAAAACCCACTCGGCACGTCGGAGCCCAGCTCTGATGTTCAGACCGATGGTAGAGAAACAGCCTGAAGGTGTGTTCAGGTCACACACGGTGTGAACCGAAATCCACAACGTGGGGCTTATATCTGTATTCAGCTGAGTCTTTTGAGGCTTTGTCTGAAATAAAGTCCGTGACTTTGTTGACTACAGCTGCTACAAGCTTTGGGGTTCGCCGCTGCCAGGCTAACCATACGTAATACAGATTTATTTATTTTTTAATTTTTTTTTCTGACTCACTGTTCACTGCAAAAACACAAAATCTTATCAAGTATTTTTGGTCTAGTATCTACAAATACCTTAGTATACTTCAAATAAGACAAATGTAACTTAAAAGTAACTTTTTAGCAAGATGTAGAGGCTTGTTTTATGTAAATAATTCCTTAATATTGATTAAAAAATCATTTGTTTCATTGGCAGATTATTTCACTTGTACCAAGAAATATTTCCATGTTATAAGTTAACATGAAGTCCTTTTTCATCAATATTAAGGAATTATTTATTTAAAACAAACACCTGTTTCTTGCTGAAAAGCTACTTTTAGTTTGTTTATCTTATGTCAAGTGTGCTAAGATATTTACACTAGAAACTTGACCAAATTTACTTGGTAAGATTTTGTGTTTTTGCAGTGTTCTTTGATAAAACGGTGGGATCCGTGGGATTTAGATCTGATTCTAACACACTGGTTTTAATGTAGCTCTGGCTGTATGTTTATGTTCATCCTCTCCTCTCCAGACTCTCTTCCAAGTTTTCTGTAACTTTTCTGCCTCCGTTGAAGAACAACATCCACAAGCCTGTGAAGTGTTGGACTCATGGCCTTGAATGTGACTTTTCATGGGTTTATTTTTCAGCAAATGTTTAATTCTTGACACTCTTTCCTGTAGCTTTACTATATCTTTTCCATTTTCAGATGACGAATCAAAGAGTTTGAGTCATTCAAAGTTTAGGATATTGTTTTAAATATTTTGGCTTGAAACTGACCTGTCTGGTGTTTTCTCTTTGGTCTTCATGATGTTTATTCTCTAATAATCCTCAAAGGGATTCACAGAAAAAAAAAAAAAAAATTGACTCATCCTGGGATTAAATTGCACACAGATGGAATCTACTTTTCATATTTTTATTTCTTAAATATTTTAAAGCCTTCTAAGTGACCATTATTAGTGCCTAATATATGGACACGTTAAAAATGTTCAAGACTGAAAAAAGCAAGACAATCGATTCTCTTGGCTTAAATGTTTAAAATTAAATGTGACGGATTAAAATAGGATTCATCACAGATATAGCAAGTGGAAACGTGCGTGTACGATAGGGCTGATAGGGCAATTAATCATGATGAAATGATGGTTGGCTAATTCGATCGATTAATCGTTGACTATGGTATGCAGACTCTTTAAAAAAAAAAGGCCATTTCCTGAAAGAACAACACAGTCAGAGCAGTAATTAAGCCACAACTGTACAAAAAATGAATACACTTTGCACTTAAGATTAAAAAAGAACATTGTCTGTAAATCTGTTCTACTCAGAACTCATCAAGTGGCATACACTGTAGTTTTATCTCCATCTTGTTAAATTCTGTAAGAAAATCTCGTATTAAGCACATTTTGCTATCAAATTACAAATCACTTAATCCTAAAAAGGAACCATTAGATCAGTCGTATGATGTACTGATGCTACGTCGAGCAGAAATACCTGAGCTTCTCACCTGTTGATGTTAGAAGTGTTGTTTTAGCTGCAGATGCGTCCTTTGCTACAAATGATTAACTGTTCGCTACAGGAATGCCATGCTGTTGCGTTTTAGGCAATAAAATCTTCAGATCTAATGAGATCTTAAATAAAAAATCTGCAGAACATGCCAGTTTTTTTATCCGATTAATCAATTAACTGTCTGAATAATTGATAGATTAATCGATAACTGCTGTTCCCTCTCCTGTTTTAGTCAAACAAACCTGGCACTTGAGAGAATCCCTACATACAATCACACGCATGTTCACACACACCCACGTCTGTACTTGTGCATGTGTGTATGTGTGTGTGTGTTTGTGATTCCTTTCAGGGTTTAAACTCAAAACTCTCCACTGTTTACGTTCATCTGTCAGACGGACCTGAGCGAATGTACATCAGGTCTGATCTCCTCCTAGCTGATACGCTGAGCACACACACTGTCACTGCTCAAACACACACGTACACACACAAACACAAACACACCTTTGGAGACCTTTGTCCCCAAGAGAGCATTGTGACCTTTGTCTCATGCGGCGGCGAGACGCAGAGAGCAGAGGTTGGGTTACTGAGCACCACAGATTTAGTTTTCTTTTAGTTTGAATCACAGATAAATCCTCTGTAATCTGTGTTAGATTGCTGAGGATTGTTTGATAACAGACACATTTGTTTTCTGTCGGTTTATTTAGACCAAATGGAGACGAAATAAGACAATATTTCAAACAGGTTTCTTTAAAAAAAATAGAAGATTGTTTTGTGTTTTACCTGAATTTTGTACATTTTTCATTATCTCTATAATGAGGCTGGATCCCTGACAGCGAATGCTTCATTTATTTTTCTTTTCTTTTCATATAAAACATGATTGACTGGGAAATAATCTGGGTTTCATGTCTTATTTTAAATAAAAGCAACTTTGTAACATCTAATAAAAACACCAAAGTATTCTTCAAGGACCAGTAAAGTCACAAGCAACTGCTTCATCTATTTAAAAAATTGGTTTAACCCGAGTGAAGAACTGTAGATATTATGTTTTGTAGAGTTTCAAAAGTAGTTTTTGTTCTTTTAAAAGATGAAAAATGATGCCACGTTTATGGTACTGTAATGGTTCTAAATATGATTGCAACACAAAGTTTGTGTGTTGCAGTTGGTTTTGCTTTTCTGACGGGAAAATACAAAGAAAAAAAAACATTAAAAGACCTTTGAGTAGCTTAAAGAAGAATGTTGTGGTTATAAGACAATACGGACTGTGTAGTAAACATATATTATGTCATAGATATAACAACATCGTCCCGTGTTATCGTCCTGGTCTACGAGTAACTTTGGGGCCTAATTGTATATTAGGCAGCAGGAGTTTCTCAATAACATATTGCATCTATTTACTGACTTCAAAGCACCATGCTAACGCAGCTAGCAAAGTAATGATTGACAGGGGTGAACTGGCTAGTAACATATTTCTTCAAAGTGTGACGACCATCTATGTGCTACAACTAAGACCATTTTCCTGGTACAGGAAACTCATGCTTCAGAACAAATACTTTGGCAAAATCTCCATTAGAATAAATTAAAAAAATTAAAAAAAACAATGCCACTTTCTTCTGTCAGGAAAAAAATAATATGCAGGACCAAACTACAAATAATAGCGTCCTTTTCCGTCTATATTTGTGAAGGTGCCAGACACCCTCGTCAGGTACCTTTAGGGTCCTCTGGGAAATCCCACCTCCTCAAGCAGGAAGTCCTATAATATAAAATTGCTCTCTGATGTGTTCACAGACCGCTAGGTATTTGAAATTTCATTTAAGCCTCAGAGCAAGTGGTTGCGGACATAATCCGTTTCTAACAATACAAAATGAGGAACATTCGGTTTTTTGTGGAAGGAAAAGCTGAAAGCACAACATATAAACTCCGCTAAAAATATTAGCACAGATATTTTTGTTGAACTGCTGATTCTGTCATTAACAAGTCAAATAAATTAATGTTTTACTGTCTTGATTTTTTGCAAATAAATTAGACCTGCCACCCCTTATTCTTACAGAACTGATCAATATAGCTACACATAATTTTTTTAATATATCTGCTCTGTTTCGAATATTACTATGTAAAAATGGCTGATTAATTTCAGTTTGAAACAATTAGGTCGACTGAATAGTGTTTTACTTATCTGACATAATGTCAATAAGTTATTTTATGTCAATCAGTCAGATTTACAGAACGTCGTTCATGCATTTGAAAGTAACACAGAGTGCAGTGCAAAAGTTAAAAAGGGACCAGGCATGCAGACAGCGATCGATACTGACGCCACATAAACCCTAAGCTAACGTGAAGTGACACTCAGAAGCGGGAGCGCGCTCCCAGCTGAGTTTTGACATTTCCGACAGCCGTGAACGCAGCAGAGCCTGTGTTTGATGAGAAGGTGCCGCAGCTTCAGACGGACTTCACTTCGTCCTCGGGCGCAGGGAGCGCAGCAATCCGCGCGTGGCCGCAAACCCAACGGCACGGGATAAGTTATTGCCCGGAGGGACTCCTCTTCTTCTTCTGCTGCTGCTCGTTTCTGCTCTGGCTGTTTTCACTCAGAAGAATCAGAAAGTTCACTTTTCGGAAGTTGTTCAAGTCGCGGGCGGATTAAATCCATCGAGGGAAACGCATCAAGTGGATTTTACTCACCTGGTTCCTCGCGGCACAGAAAGAGGAGACTTCTGGATATTTATATAGCTCACATTTACCAGCTGTTCTGTCTTGCCATCATTTTCTTTATTTCTTTTTCTTTTCTTCTTATTCTTTTTTTTTTAACTACAGCACTGATGATGCGACTCTCTGCGGCATACAGGACATGTTTGGAGGACGTGCAGAGGGTTGAAATGTTACAGGGTCGTTAAATTTATTGGAACGTGACTGCCGGATATGAACTTTCTCCGTAATGATTGCAGGAGCGCTGGTGAATGATTGACAGCGTGCTGGCACCACTGGTCCCCCCATCAGATATCCATTTTACCCTTCAACAGGCTGATTTGTGTCTTTTCTCTCAGAACAGAACTTTCTTCTGTTGACTCTTCTAAAACATAAAGTTTCAGCCATGAACTTTAGTAAAATGAGCCCTTCTTTATTTCAGTTGGTGTAAAGACATCATGGCATCAGCAGTGAGACTCATGCCGTACAGCCTGATGCTGTACCTGCTTTTCGTCTTCTGGTCTCTCGGTTTCACATCGGGAGCCTCCAAGGACTTGGTTTGTGAGCCCATTACGGTGCCCATGTGTAAGGGCATTGGTTACAACTTGACATACATGCCCAATCAATTCAATCACGACACCCAGGAGGAAGTGGGGCTAGAGGTGCACCAGTTCTGGCCCCTGGTCCGCATCCGCTGCTCCCCGGATCTGCTGTTCTTCCTCTGCAGCATGTACACTCCGATCTGCCTGCCGGACTACAGGAAGCCGTTGCCCCCCTGCCGCTCCGTGTGCGAGCGGGCCAAGCGAGGCTGCTCCCCCCTCATGAGCCAATATGGCTTTGAGTGGCCCGAGAGGATGAGCTGCGAGCAGCTGCCCCAGCTCGGCGATGAGACCCTGTGCATGGACCAGAACAGCGGTGAGACCACCACTCTGGCCCCCTCGTTCCCAAAGTCCACCCCCAAAGTCAGAACCAGACCTCCCAGCCCATCGCAGTGTGACAGGGAGTGCCGTTGCAGAGACCCCTTGGTCCCCATCAAGCGGGAGTCCCACGCTCTCTATGGCAGGGTCCAGACCGGCCCTTTGCCCAACTGCGCCCAGCCCTGCCACCTGTCCTACTTCTCGGCGGATGAACGCGCCTTCACCAGCTTCTGGGTGGGACTCTGGTCCGTGTTGTGCTTTATCTCCACGTTGACCACCGTGGCCACTTTCCTCATCGACATGGAGCGGTTCAAGTACCCAGAGAGGCCCATCATCTTCCTGGCTGCCTGCTACCTCTTCGTCTCCTTGGGCTACATCATACGTCTGATTGCGGGTCACGAGCGAGTGGCTTGTGGCTACAGCGGCCTCGGCGGAAGCCAACTGCACATCCTGTATGACGCTTCCGGCCCCGCTCTCTGCACCCTCGTCTTCCTGCTGGTGTACTTCTTCGGGATGGCCAGCTCCATCTGGTGGGTGGTGTTGTCCTTCACGTGGTTTCTCGCGGCGGGAATGAAGTGGGGCAGCGAGGCCATTGCTGGATACTCGCAGTACTTCCACCTGGCTGCGTGGCTCATCCCGAGTGTCAAGTCCATCGTTGTCCTCGCTCTCAGTTCCGTGGACGGGGATCCCGTGGCTGGAATCTGCTACGTCGGGAACCAGAGCCTGGAGAATCTGAGGGGATTTGTGCTGGCCCCTCTTGTGGTCTACCTCTTCACAGGCTCGCTGTTCTTACTGGCTGGGTTTGTCTCTTTGTTCCGCATCAGGAGCATCATCAAACAAGGTGGCACCAAGACGGACAAACTGGAGCGGCTGATGATCCGAATTGGGCTTTTCACAGTGCTGTACACAGTCCCCGCCACCATCGTGGTGGCATGCCTGGTCTACGAGCAGCACCACCGACCTGGCTGGGAGCGAGCCCTGGCCTGCTCCTGCCCGTCGGAGCGTCAGCGTTCGGGCCCGGACTACGCCATCTTCATGCTCAAGTACTTCATGTGCTTGGTGGTGGGCATCACATCCGGAGTTTGGATTTGGTCTGGAAAAACTCTGGAGTCCTGGAGGAGATTCGTGGCCAGATGCTGCCCCTGCTGGCCGCAGAAGGTCACTGCACCGCCTTCCATGTACAGCGAAGCGAGCACAGCCTTGACGGGGCACACTCGAACTGGGTTGTCATCGGGGATCTATCAGAAAGCCCCTCCGTCCCATATATGAACTGTGTGGCAACACGAAACATTTTAGACAACCTGTGATTGCGGACAAGAAACCAGAACTATAAGTTTGTGTCATTTTACCCTAAATATAAACTATAAACAGTAAATACTGAATGAAAAGATTCAGAGCGTTAAAAAAAAAAGGTAAAAAGTATATATCTATATAAGCGTACAGTATGGGAAATAATAGTTAAAACAAAAGCAAAACATACGTTTGAGACTCTGAATCTCGACAAAAATCTCTATAAGTGATTTTATTTTATTTTTTTTTTGCACTGCAGCTGAGACACTTGACCAAATCTGACTCTCACTTAAAACAAGCAATCCTCCCCTGAGGTAATCGGATATTCCTGAGCACTGGAAAAAAAATAAAAATATATATTTATTGTTGTACATACTGCAAATATTTGTTGTAAAGAAAAAAAAAAAAACAACGTAATGTTTCTGTTTAAAAAAAAAAAAACATACTGCCAAGCTATGTATAAGAGACCACAGAAACAAAGTAATTGTCCATAAATGTGATGTTGTAGCTCGATGTTTGAGTGGTGGTGCTCTGTGTGAATCCAAACTGAATGTGCTCTTGGAAATTCATTACTGTGACTAGGAACTTCCTTTGTTTCGTCTGTATAGTGCGCTCTAATACGACCTATTTAGTTCTGTGAACTCATTAAAGTGTCTTTGTGAAAGGAGAGCCAGTTCTGTCTGTGTTGTGTGAAGAAACGCACAATAATGATCAAAGGCAACGAGATAAAAAAAAAGGAACTCAGTCTTTAGCCCCCCCTACTGGTTCACAATGGAGCTGCTCGCTTTGTGTTTTCTCTAGAGGAGGAACACTCGGCAGATGAACCTCAAACCTCCGCAACCTGCCGCTTTCACCGTCACGCTTGCAGTGAGTTAACAAGACGTGTTAAAATTTTAAACACAAGTCTGCAATTTGCAATAAAGCTCAAAAGCATTCATACGCGTGGTAGATGTAGTGTTTACATTGTACTTTTAATTCAACTGAGTATTTTGTTTCAGATAATGAAACAAATCAGTTTTGAAAAAAAAAAACCCTGGTTTATTTCAATATATATATATATATATATATATATATATATATATATTCACACTTTTAAACAATGCATTAAAATGTTCCTACAATTGTTCAACAAGTTGGTAAAATCCATCAGGAGTGTGAATAAATTGGGCTTGAGCTGAATATTTACATTTTTTGGACATTTTTTTCCGCTGCCAAATCAACAACCTCTTTAACACCGATTTATTTTTAATAAGACAGCAAGTATAGAAAAATGACAACTGCACTCCCCTAACATTGGCAAAATCTTTGCTATTTTGTTCTGGATTTGCTAAAATTCAAGCACTGTAAACCATTCAATAAGTTTAACGGAAATCTCATTGATTTGAGAGAAGCCAGTTTAAAAATGTATGAAATACTTGCACACCATTAACAGAGCTGATGCTGTAATATTACTCAGCTGATAAATTTCAGTTTGTAAATGTTCCTCACGTCAATCACATGTTTTATACCAGTTAAACTCACTGGTATAAAGAACTCACTGGTGATCAAGAACCACAAAATCTTTTTCGAGTGCTCCAAGTCCATGAAGTGAAGTACTAAAAGAAATTTAAAAGGAAAAAAGAAACATTTAGTGTGGATAAAATTGCTTAATGTCTTTTTGTTGGCTGTTTTGAAGTCTTTATGACTCGTTACGTTTCACAGCCTGCTGTGCGACGCCGCTGTTCACACGTCTGCTGCGTGAACGAACGCGATGCGAATGGAGGGCAGCAGGTGTTTGGGTTCAGGTAGCTTACTGTACCTCTGCTTTAAATATCAGATATTTTCTAAGGAAATGATAAGCTTAACTGTAGATCTGTGGATTTAAAAACAGTTGGCTTTGAGCTTTGCCACATTGTGTGATTTTTTTTCTGAGATTATTACATTTACAAGAGCAAAGAACATACCAGCTCTGCTGTCGTTTTGACTGCAACTAAAGGTTTTATACCAGTTAAACTTTACATTTCTTTTTTTTTTGACATCTTAGAGTAAAAATAACCAGCACAGCATGTATTTGTCACATGACTAGTGTTTATTTAAAATATTCCATTTGCAAATTCTTCTTTCCATTAAAAATAATAATTTCACAGCTAGTAGCCTACATAGTAAGCAAAAAGGAGAGGGTTGTCCATCAGTCTTTTGTTCCCTCTGTATCTATGTCGTGTTTTTGAACAAAGGGTTGGGAGGTTTCTGTCGATGGCGAGATCTGAGGGCTTTAAAACAAAAGCTGGATTGGAGGTGAGGAAGGGGAAATCCCCCCCTCTAGTCAGTAGCAGTACTGATCTATAATCAGTAGCATTTGATCATCCAAAAAGGTACACATGTATAGATGGCATTACAACAAATCCCACAATTGGCACTCCTGATTTCTGACGCACAGCAGCTGACTGGAGCTCTGATCACTCCGACCATCTGGAGTGGACCGTTACCAGTAAGATCCTGTCATAAGACAAGCTCACTTCAGATTACCTTACATTTAAAATTTCAGCTCAAATATACCGCACTGCGCAATAGTCTTGAGTTATCCCTAATAGCTCTGTGTTTTATACTGGTCTTTGAGAATGATTTTAAAGTGGTCTTGATCACAGTTCAATGGTCTTTCTGAAAGCCTTACAGTATTTTGGACGTTTTGCTTTAGTCCAGACTATTTTCCCAGCAATATCAATTATGTTTTAAGCCACATAACACTGAACAGGGCACAGGCTGGAATCACTCTTACAGTATAAGACGGCTTTAATAGTACTTTTACATGATGTAATTATTCTAAACAGAAATGCAACAGTTACTTCCATACTGATAAAATAATTAAGCTGCATTATATCTGGAGAAAATTAAAATGCTATTCAGCATCTGAATATTGTGACGGCAATTTCCAACAATGGTTAACTCACATTTTCCCAGACTCTTCCTTTATCCCCCGTCCAGCCTCCACTAGTCTCTGGGAGCTTTAGTATCGCAGCTGCTGAAGAGCTGCATCGTATGTATTAAGTGTAATCGATAATCAAAGATGAATGTCTGACACTTGCAATATAAAAGCCTATCAAATATGCATCAAACCAGCTGTCTGTGATTGTGATTTTGCAAACACTGACATTGTGATGTCAATGCTGCTATAATTTATTTTATAGCCTGGATTATTTTGATACACAGACAAGAAATACATAATTAGCTAATTAGCAACCTAGCTAGTAAGCTAGATAACATAAAAGCTAAACAGCTATCATCTTTCTAGCTAGTTGGCTAGAAAGATGCCAAGAAATTGGCATCTTTCTAACTAGAAATTCGCTAGAAAGATAACTAGTACGCTAGCTATCATGTTATCTTTCTAGCTAGGTGGCTAGTTTATCTTGAGTTAGCTAGCTATTTAGTATTTTAAGTTAACTAGTTAAGGCCTTCAGCTGTCTAGCTAACATTCTAGCTAGCTGGATGGATTTCTAACCTCTTCAATTCCCAAACACTGTCAGGAACATGCTGTACAATTTGGGCAAGTTCATTAAGTACATTTGGTCGAGCCATCAGACAGACAGCAAACTTTCTAAGCAACAAATTTCTGGGCTTCTGCACGAGCTGAAGATGATGCAGGCCAGGATACCCAAGAAGGTGTCGGTGCACATCGAACCGGATGTGCGCACGGAAGCCGGTAAGAGCTTTCATTGTGCCATCTACGCGTTTCCTTTTCGTCCGATTTTTGGAAGGACGTTTAAAATTTCTAACTGTTTCACAGAGGAGGACGCTGGAGTTTCGGCGACCCCGACGCAGCCACCGTCTCAACCATCGTGAGTATTGCTGTTTTTTCTAACGGAAACTCGGTTACAGTTAAAAGAAAATTGGGACGCTACACAGAAAGCCAACTGAAACCGAGCCGTAGAAAAAAGTTGCAGAAAACCAGACAATAACCGATACTCACACAAACAAGACTGGGCAACACACCAGGTTGGCAAATACATTTAAAGAAGAATGTTTTGAAAGGTTTACGATTACACTTCTAAGCAGATGTGCTCAGAAGTGAAAAACTGAAAAAAAACAAAAACTTGTGAACAAGAGATATATCTAAGAATGACCCGACCACTTCAGTAGTTTGGAAGTCGTTACCTTTTGAAAACCTAGACACACCTTGATACTAGTAACTCATCCAGCTGACCAGTAAACTATTCGGAGAACTTATCAAGTTCCCTTAAGCTCTTTCTACTTTAAGGTTATTAAGTGGCTTAAGAAATTAAATCCTGCTACTCTTCTAACAGAGGACTGAAAATGTCAAGGCCTTTAGAAAGCCAGGAGAACTTTTGATCACGACCACCAAAAGATACAAATACATAAAATATTAATTATGGATAATTCAACACATTTTTTTACAGGTACTGTATAATACAAAATACATATTTAGCTATCCCAATTAAAATAATAAAATGAGCATTGTCAGAAAAAGTTAAAACTAACATCAAATTGTTCCAAAAGACATTCAGATTTGATATTTCTCAGTGCTGTGCAGCTATTCTCAATACCCATACCTGAGGATCAACGATACAATAAATAGTCTGTGAATAGATTTGGATACAATGAAGATATGAATTTTACCTTCAAAGTGGTGCCAAACAGGGAGAATCTGTTTGTAAAAACGGAGTAACAAACCAAAAAGAAAACATTTCCAACACTAATTTGATGTGATTCTGAAAAAAGTAGGCTGTAAAATAAAATAAAAGATAAAGAGATGGGGTTTTCTTATTCACCTGGTCTCCTGTTGAGATATTACAGGGTTTGTTGTACAGACTTTACTGTTGTGGATATAAGTTTTCTGAAGACAGAATGACCTCACCAGTTGACCTAAGCAGGTACAAATGCCTTCTAGACTTTTGTTCACAGAAACCAAAATACTAAAAATCAACCAAAAACCTCGTCTGTCGAGACAGAACAGACTGAAATTTTTTGTTTTCCATCGATGCCGTTTTTGAGACAAATTAAAAATCTAGTGCTCCTTCCGTTTTTTTTATAAACACCGTTTCTGGGGAAAATTGAGTTTTGTTGAGAAATAAATAATAGATCTGTGAAAAGGACGGCTCACGGTTTACTCTGGAGCCATAATTTCAGCTTCATCGGCGACGCAGCTGTGAACCACCACCATGCTGAGGCGTTTGCGGGCAGAACCCCATCTGATGCGGCTGCGGAGACTCTGTGGGTTTGTCCGGCGTCGGCTGTGCTGCGGCTGGGGGGTCTGGAGGGGGCGGGCCTACGAGAGTACGGCGTTTGAGTGCCGCATGCCTATCAGGTTGTCTACGCTGATGGAGCGTCTCATCGCTGCTTTACTCAGATCCTTGTACTTGTCTTCACACAGTCTTGAAATGGCCTGAGCAAACAATCACACAAAAAGGAGTTACAGAAGGTCAACTGTAAGTTCCTGTTACAGATGTACATGAAGGGCTGTGGAGTCGACATGCTTGAATAACTTTTTATGAACTGTGCGATGCTGCAAGAGCTCTGGTGGAGCCAGCTGCACCTTGTCCAAAAACAAAAAACAAACTACAAACCACAGAGAAGAACACTTCCTGTCGTCTTCTTTGTGGTTTTTGCCAGTAGTAACATCCAGGTGTAGATCATGTGACCCGTGTGATACGAAAAAAGTGTTGTAGTTCACATAGTTCTGCGAAATACATCTGTTACGACACGGCTGAGAGACCACCACAGACTTTTTACCAAAAACTGTGAGTTTTTTTTTTAAATTGGCTAAATTTATTTACGTAATTTCAATTTGTGCAATTCTACAGTTAATATAAATACAGCTTCTGTCATAAATCTCAAGCAGAAAAATCCCCTTTATTTTTTTGAGCAGTGTGTGTGTGTGTATATATGCATATATATATATATATATATATATATGCATATAAGTAATTTGATACATTTTTAATGTTAAGAATCTACATAAATCTTCAAATTATTAAAATTGTTGCAGATGTGAATGTTTTCAACAGGAAGTGGCCTTGGTGAAGAGCAAGATTCTCTTTTACATTAAAGCATCTCAACTCTTTTTTTTTTTTTTTTTTTACATTCAAAAGATGCAGCTCAACTACATCATTAATGAGACATTAACAAACACCACAAATGAGCTTTTTTAAAAAGGTGTTTAGAGGTCGACCCACCTCTAGTTTTTGAGCGCGCTGGTTGTCGAGGGGCTCCAGCGGGAAGTTGAGGTTGTTGTCGTCGGCCAGCTGCCGCAGGTCAAAGTAATACTTGGCGTAAACACTGGCTGGCACGTTGATGTTAAACTGGAGAAGTTCCAGGAACTGGCGCTCCATTTCGTTCCTGGAGGGGAAGGAGATGCCCGAGGGTCAACCAGAGGGTGAATGGTTTAATTTATTTGCAGGAAAACACAAGAACTACTTTGGTGGAGGGAGTCAAGTTAGAGATTTGATGTTTGTTTTCATTCACTTCCAGACAGACATGGCTCCTCATCATCACAGTCACGAGTAAACCTAAGGGAGGTGGTCTCCAAGGAGACAACATCCAGGAGGCTTTGTTGGTCAGCAAAAGGTGGCGAGAGTACATACGAACAAGTGTGTGTATGTGTGTGTGTGTGTGTGTGTGTGTGATGTCTGGTTTCCCGGGGCAACTAATGGAGCGGACGAGAGCCGGGGCCATTATGTAGAAGCAGTGAGAGCACTTGAGACCCTCCCTTCCATTTTTCTCTGTTTCCCTCTGTCCTATTCTTCCCATCCCTCGGCCCAGACTCCGACCAGCTCACAAAGACACTTCAGTGGCAGCAATGAAAACAGAGCAGAGAGCGTGTGGGTCAGACGGACGCGAGTGGGGAACGGAGAGAGGAGAGGACGGGGAGGAGGAGCGGGAGGGGACGCGGGCAGCAAACACACACATGCGGGCGGAGAGAGAGTGCTTCTGACCAAATCATAAAAAACAAGCCAGCACTCTCAACCTCTTTTACACACAGACACGGGGAAAAGCAATTGCAGGAAATAAAGCCGTGGCACTCCGAGTGCAGCCCCCCTGGCCTCCTCAGCGGCTCGCAGCCAGACGGCAGAGATGCTGCAGCTTCCATTTATTCCAGCACTTTTTTTTTTTTTCCCTGCCAGCTTTAAGTGCATCTTATTAGATTGCTTTTATTAGAGGGGCAAGCATGTTTGTGGCTTTCAGTCTAAATCTAACACTGAGAAAGCAAAAACAAACAAAAAACTGCGGCGTTGAGGAACAAACTGAACGGAAACCCGACGCCAATTTAACTGAATGTTTTGGGTCAAAAACTGAATCGGTTTGTGTTTTTGTCAGATGGTTATTCTATTTTCAGCTGCTGGAATTTATTTTTTTTAAAGCACAATTATGAGGATGACTCACTTCTACCTTTTCCTTGAACAAAAGACTCGTTTTGTCTACGTGTGTCACAAAAAAGTTCACAGCGATATGAACTTCATGTCTTACACTTTCAATTTAAGATCCTAATGTTTGCTATGAATCTGTGGCCGAACTGTTTGCAAAGTGAAGGCAGTGAAGAAACTGAAAAAAAGAACAAAACAAAGGAAGGAAAGAATGAGATCTATGATAGTTCCAGTTTTATACGGAGAGACAGAATAACAAAACCAAAGAAAAAATTTCCAGAGAAACATTTCGACAAGAATTATTTATCCACATTTGAGTCATTAACTTCGTACGTTTGTCATGATTTGGCTGTTTAAAATAAATAAATAAATGTATCACAAATTGGTAAGAAACTGCAGTAAAGGTCCTGGTGTTGGGAGTCAAGTCAAGGCGGCCGCATTGAGAACAAAAAGCCTCCGGACATGAAATTGATCCAACAGTCTGCAGCGGAGCTCAGAGTTACCAAGACAATTAAAGACTTTATAGAATTTATCAATAAAAGAAAACAACTATTTTGTCTAGGTTTGCTCTTCCACCTCAAGAAAACAGATATATACAACTCTAGCATGTTTCATTTTGCAGTAGCCCCACATCCTCTAATACTCTAGAAACAAGAACACACTTTAGATTCAGATCGATTTGGGGTTATTCAGGAACTCCTCTTCCAACAGGAAGAGTTGCTTCCTTTTCTTAAATTCCCCATCCGTTCAGGCTGAATGCGGGATAAAACTGCATCCATTGCAGCAGGCCACTTACATGTCCTCCACGGTGATGTCTTTAAGAATCTGGCAGTAGTCGACGTTCCACACCGCCTGGTCGTCCCAGACTTTGGAGGCCAGCAGGATGGCTCCCAGGACAATCCGCTTCCAGTTGGCCGGACAAATGTCCAGCTCCGCGTACGTCAGCAAACGTTCCAAGTAGACCTGCACGAAAAAACAACATCAAGAAGTATTATTTGGAAAAATGGACAATAGTTTAGTATCCCCTTCTGTCTTTTATTATACACTGAACACAATCAATACTTTATTTAGCAAAAATCATTACTTAAAATAACCAAAAAATATTTTTTCCTGCCATTACATTTTTTTTTTCATTTTGCAGGTCCATCCTGCACTTTTTGATGTGAAGTATGTCTTGTTTCTGGACTTTACTGCCCTCTGGTGGCTAAATAAGGAGCTGCAGCTGAAAACTAATGTGCCCAAAAAAATAAAGCAGCACAAATTTGCTACTGTGCACGCTAGCGACTTACGAGTGTGACGATGGCACATTCAGCGGTGAGCTGTGCGGCGCTGAAGAGCGTCCTGACAAAGCGATAGATGAGTTTGTGTTCTGGGTCGACGTACGCGTAGTCGTCTGGGACCGGCTCTTTCTGTGTGGGACGGAAAGGTTCGCACATGACTGAAGGGAGGAAGCAGGATGTGAACGTGGTTCTGGTCCGGAGAGAGGTTGGTAGTGAAAACAGCTGGAGGGCGGCAGCATACGCATTTCTGTTTGAAGCGTGAAGCACCGTTTAAAACCACAAATACGCCGCCGGTCAGAAATAAAGGAAAAACCCAAGAAAAACCCAGTTCCTTTATCAGTGAGGTACATGACACGACATAAATGACACAGATTTAAAGTAATGCTTTGCTATTTGCCATTATATTAACTTTAAGCAGAACCTTCAAAATAAGTAGTCATCAAACTGTTTTAGGCCGAACTTTATAATAGTGGTGAGAGTTTTTCCCGTCTGCCCAACTCAACCAGACAGAAAAAAAAGGTCAACTTTCAGTATGTCTAGGATGTTTTATGAGGTTGATTGTGTTTTTTTTTTCCCTCAAGCAAATCAAGTAAAAACTAAACCTTCCCAAAACAATGAAGTCCCCTTTTTTTAAAAACAGTAAAACAAAATGTAAGACGGTCTTCTTACAAATTATAAAGTTAATTTGTGTAAAGAAAACCCCACAAATGCATAAAAACCTCAAAATTTAGAGTTGTATTAGCTGCTAGAAATCAGTTTTCTATTTTATTGAAGATCTGTAGACTGAAAAAAAGACAACTTCTCAGCATTTCAACTGCTTCAGTTCACTTTGTGGATTTTCTGAGATTCCCACTCTCCTCTTTTTGGCCAACCAGAAGGACATAGTGGAGCAGGTTCCTGTGATATTAAGTTGCAGTGGGTCTATTATACTGAAACTCTGACCGGCCCGTCTTGATTTAAGGCGACGCCTCTCTCACATCAGGAAACACTGAGGAAATACACGTCTTCCTCCATGCTGTTGGTCAATGAAACTCTCTGTGCTTTCAACCTGGAAACGCTGATCTGTTTACTGTTGGTTGTGCAACATGGAAACAAAGTTTGATTTTCACTTAAAAAAAAATAAAAAATAAAAAAAAAAATACCAGAGCTGGTTAGTTCCACCACCAAAAGATAAAAAATATCAAGAAAAAATATTTTTGTCTAATCAGGCCTTCCTGCAAGTTTCAATGAAAACCAGTTTCAAACTCTCTGCAATGCAGATGCATCCAATCATTTAGTTAAGCAATACTATGCAGAATTGCTTTACGGTGTTTAAGTAATATGGCATTTGCATAACAGAAGGACTTTCCTCTCACTGCGTTTCACATGCATTTGTACTAAAAAGCCAGGCGACTGGGTGGGACCCTCTGCAACACAAAGCTGAGTTTCGGATTGCAAAACCAAAGCATTTCATCGGGCGTTTCTAATCCCTGAAAAGTTTAAAGGTGACAAAAGCAAAACAAACGAGAGAACTGGCATTTGGATCCCGTCTGCAGGCCACAAGCGAAGAGTCAAAGGACTGAAAGTTAACGGTTGCTTAGGAATATCCAGACACTTACTGATAAAGGGTGCAACTTCTCATCAAAGATGTCCAGTGACCTGTCAGAGTCCCTAAAAAAAAATCAAGCAGAACATCCATCACTGTGACACAACCGACTCACCTGTAAAATAATGACACAAGTCGAGCTTCAAACTGACCTGTTTTTGATGTGGTAGTATATTGCTAAAGTGACACTGTGGACAAGACAACAAAGGTATTTTTATTTTTTTGTTAATTGTACTATTTATTGAGCTTAGAGTGACAAAATGTTTAAGTCAACAGGATTAAACTTATCACCGAAACAATGTCACAACATCAACATGAGGTGAAATGAGGCAAGATGACATCTGTTTGAGTCAAACATCTGCCAGGATTACCGCAGCGTGATGTAACACGATGTTCTCATGAGAAATAAGGGTTTTCCCAGCAGCGCATCAATGAGTACGAGTGTGTGTGTGTGTGTGTGTGTGTGTGTGTGTGAGAAGTCTCACCATTTAATTGTGCTTTTGAGGTTTGGCTGACTCACGGTGCTGTCGTCTATGAAGATGGTAGAACAGGAGCTGTACTTCTTCAACGGCGGACCAGGAGAAACCTGGAGACAGAAGTCCAAGTTCACGCAAACGCAAAATAAAACGCCTTTAACCGAATAAAACAACATTCATGTATTCATTAAAGCTTAAAATGATGTCGTCTGGCTTACGGTCAATCTTATTTGACATCCAGACCCGCTTCTCTTTACAAAATAAGTCGATGGCGTACCGTGCAGGCTGAATGGACCTCGTAGATTTCATCTTTTAAATGCATTTTTAATTCCACCACAGTCTACAGCATCATTCATTAGGCTTATTATAAAGTATGAAAAAAATTGTCTGATCAAAATGATTACTCAATTATAAACCGTAACCTAAGAGAGTCAGAATCATACTCGATCCAAACTACATGTAGACGAGGCAGACTCGGAAACTTCAGCACCTTTTCTAAGAACCGGAGCAGAAAATAAAACACTTACACGATTGAGATGGTTTATGTGATTGCTTTTTCTCTTGTCGCGCACTGCGAAGATAAAAAATTTAAAAAAGAAACTTTTAAAACAGGAAACAGAACCCACAACCAAACAGTTAAACTCACATCATTTACTTGAAAAAAAAATAAAAAAGTTACATTATTAATCCATAAACATATATGTATTCTTCATTTCAAAGAACTTAAATCTGACGCAGAAGAGCAGGGCGACTTCCAAGTACACATTTAAAAACAAAACAAAAAAATAAATAAGATCCCAGTGAAGACTGTTTCAGACATGCTGACTGTTCACATAAAATGAGATTTAATGCAGCTTTTCTGTGTGTGTGTGATATGTCAGGACCAATGACCGTCTGTCTGGGACTTGCTGAGGAAGATGGTGCTCGCTCGGGCGTGGTCCGATGGATTAGATTCCAAGGCCAGCTCTGTGAAAACATTAAGCGTGTCACTGGGAGTGTCTGTTTGCTTCTCGTTTGTGGGCAGAGATGAGCCCGGCGCAGCGCGCACAACTAGGGCCATGAATAAACAGACACTCTGCAGAACAATATCCTCCTGATTCAGCTATCTGCTTTTATGAATCGTGGCTAAATCCCAAAATAACAACATAAATAAATAAATAAATAAATGTTAAAAAATCCCTCTACGAGCATGACAGGACGGTCTTCTTTCTCCAAATCCCTGCAGAAGGCATGTTACATAAAAGAGAGGGGATTAGGATATGGGGGGGTGTTTGTGAAGCGAGGACGGGGAGGAATGCATGAAGGACCGCTGGACGGATTTTGACCCTCGTCTGACCGACAGCTGGTGTCTCCGGACCGTCCGCACGGTTAACACGAATGCCACGGATACTTTGCGTGTCTGGAAATCAGGGCGAAGAGGGGAGACAAGTGCTGATGCCGCGAAAGTTAGCTCGGACGGCAACTACAGACAAATATTTGAGATGCCTTAACTGGTCAGGGGTCTGCAGGACAATGGTGGGGAAAAAAAAAAAAAAAAAAAACTTCGGCTGGAACTTTTGAACATCGATTTTTGCAATTTCGACACTCCTAACAGCAGATATAGAGCAATAAACATACAAGATTTAAGATGTTTTCTTTTATGTAGATGCTGAAAGACTTATTTGCAATAGTTTACGTAAACAGGAGTATAAAATGTTAATGTGTTGAAGCTGGAGGTTACATGTCACAAGTTATACGGCGCCTTACGAGACCTTAAACTTCCTATTTTTTCACGTTAAACTACAAACATCGATGTATTTCATTGTGTTTTCTATACGTTGGACCAGTAAAGTAATGCAACACTGTAGAGACAAAAAAAATAAAAAAATGTGAGTTAGTACAGTGAGTCAGAGAATACACTGCAGAATCACCTTGTGACGATTTTAGTTTTATTTATCTACTACAGTTTTTGCCAGATCTTTGCAAAAATAGCTAAAGCTCAGCCTGATTGGACAGAGAATTTGCTGAGATAAACTTTCAGTGGAATTTAGGTTTGAACTTTGACTAGGCCATCCTAAAAACACAAATCAGCTTTGATCTAAACAATTCCACTGCAGCTCTGCTTGTATACTTAGGACAGCTGTCCTGCTGGATGGTGGACATCTGCCCCAGTCTCAAGTCTTTTGTTTTCTTCTAGGATTCTCCTGTATGTAGGTCCATCCGTTCATCCTCCTATCAACTCTCACAAACTTTCCATTCACTGCAGAAAATAGTTAAACCCCCAAAAGCTTGATGCCGACACAACCGTCTTTTAGTGATGGGCAAATGTGGGAATTTGAATCTCCTTTGACCAGAGCACCCTCGTCCACATGGCCTGTAGCAAACAGGATTTCTCATGGCTTCCCGTCCCAGACCTGTTGATACTCTTTCATTCTGGCCAGATCGATGAAGTCCAGAGCCGTCGCTCCAACCTAAGCTTCAGATCTCTGCAGCTCCTCCGAAGCTACCACAGGAAGTTCGACCGCTTCTCTGATTAACGTCCTCCTCGCCACGTCTCTTGGTTTGTGTCAAACTGTCCTGGAAGTTTTCTAATTGTGCCACCCTTCTTTCATTTCTTAAGTGTGTGATGTTCAAAGGTTGGGATATTGTTCTATAACTTCTCCACAACCATATCGCTGACTTGTCCAATTTGTTCCTTGGTTGTTGTTTTTTTTTCTTTTTTTATGATGCTATATCAAATTTCTTTCATTTCACAATCATGCACTACTTTTTGTTGGTGTATCATATAAAACTCCTTCATATAAAAGTTGATAGTTGTAGTAATGTGACAAAATGTGAAAAGCTGTAAGGAATATAAATACTTTTTCTTTTTTTTCTTGTTTACAAAGCATTGCATTTTCTTTAATAAAATCTAAGAATTTGTTTTTAATGTGTAACTCTATAATTTGACGCCAGTGGGATCAATATGATGCAGTGGGTATCTAAACGCTGCCAAGAATGCTTTCATCTTGCCAGTGGGTTGGCAAAAAAGCACTTAGAGCAACTTGGCCAGTAATCTCTATCTGAATACTTTCACAATTATGGTGGAACATCTTGGTGTTCGGTATGTGGGGTGAATATTTTTCTTCCATTTAAGTCACTTCTTAGTTGGGTAAGAGAAAAAAAAACGCTGGGAATTACAAATTATCACAAGATGTCACAAGTTTGTGAGTAATAATCGGGGTAAGCACCTACCATCAGGGACCTCCCTGTCGCTTATGTGCTGCAGATAGGGCCCGGTGTTGTCGTCGCTCACTTCGGTGCTGGTGAACTCCTCCAGCCGCTCCGCGGGTTGTCTCGAAGGGAGTTTGGGACTCGACTCCGGAGAGACGCAGCATGACACCGTGTTCCCCATTCCAAACTCTGGGCGTAAGCTTCACACTTATCGCTGACAAGTCCGAGTAGTGCATATATATCTGTAGCTAGCTAAAGCTGACCTCGCCCTTCCTAATAAACATTAGGAGACGTAGCACCGACACAGCGCTATCTTCGCGTGCTAAACTGCCGCTGCCCATCCACTCCCAAGCAAAGCATTCCTGTTCATTTGTGGGAAAACCGGTGAAACAGTCGAGGAACACTTGCTCATAAATGTTCTCCTGAGTAGAGAAAATCAGTGCCGCCTTGTAGGAATACGTGACATAAACTTGTAGTGATAATGAACTCAGTTTCTCCTTTTAAATCCAGGTAGTTGCGAGCTGCTTCATTCATTCATCCAGTTCGTTGCTATGTAGCTAAGCAGTTAGCTTGTCTCCTTAACTTAAATTTACCCCGCATTAATTCCACCTTTTGCTGTGACGCGAACACAACCAACTTTATAAAGCGAAACCGTAACACCTAAAAACAACACAAATGGTCAAACACATTTTAGGAAACTTTGCGAGCGAGCAATACGGCAGACGTCTCCTTACGCCGGGCTCCTTGGATCGCCAAATCTAGTCCGAGGCTTTTGGGGCCTCCAGCAGAAATCTGAACTCAAACCAAATTTAAAAAACAACTATAAAGAGGAAATAATATGTAAAAATCGGATGTCTTGGTTATTTTCCAAATCCAACATTAGAAACCAAAAGTCAGGAAGTAGGTCGGGACTCTGCCATCAGAACCTCCACCCGGACAGATTTGAACCGCGGCTAAACGCTCCTGCCGTCGCCATCTGTTGCTGAAGCTCACAATGATACTACTTGGCACCGGGATTTTAGTAGTCCCGCCTACCTTGGAATTCTCTTCACTCCTATTGGCTGTGATGAATCAAAACAATGACTTTTGGGAACTACTCATTGGTCAAACGAGCTGTCACTGAAAGGTGGTTTAAATCACCGAACTGCATTTACGATGCTACTATTTTTGAAGCGTCACTGATCCTCACCCTTTATCGACAGTGAAACCGGAATCGCCTCTGTAATTTAAATCAATCTTAGTCTTCACATAGATACATTTATTGTAATTAATGTATTTTATATTTTTAACTCACGTCTTTCTGAGCCGACAAAATAATAAAAAACTAATTATCAACACTTTTGAAAAGTAAATTCCTCTTACTAGTGCTGCTTATGTTAAAGTATTTAAAATTAAAGCTGCAAGCAGCCTCAAACGGCCCTCTCCGTTCCGGCCCCTTGGCGACCACGGGAGCTCTGGCGTCGCCACCCGCCAGCCATTGCTGACGTTCTTGCGCAGTTCCAGCACTCGTCCACCATATCGATATGTATATGCGTATATCGATATGTACCGATGCGTTCGACGCACCAAAAGATCGACTGATGCAGTGAGGAGATATAGCTGATGGGGCGCAGTGGAGTCAAATTACTTAATTTCTGTTAGTCAAAATTAAATATTTGGGTTTACCAGAACCAGAACGTCAAGGTTCTCATTGTTGAATGTGCCTTGCAGCTGTGGTCGACTGTTCACTGCAGGTAAGTAGAGTTTGTCATAGCTGCTGCTGTTCACGTCCCGCCCAGTGAGGAACAGAGCAGATAATGGAAAAGCTCACTATATCAGTTGGCTCTGAAGAAGACACTCCATTGTTGACAGTCTTATGAAGAGGATTCTCGAGTTGTGCATGATTTAATTGATTTTATGATGAATCTTTCTACACACCACAATCTCCAGAGATTCCCCAGTCGTACCCAGAACATAACCAGCCTTCTTTATCAGGTTGTAAAGTCGTTTTAACAGTGAGTGTTGGAGATGGGGGTTTTTTCAGTGTAGACTAATATTGCAACATAATCCAGTTAATCAAAAATAATTATATCTGTGGTAATGTGCAGTTGTTCACTGCCATGGAATAAATACAAAAATAAAAAAAAATACAATGGACTATTTTTGAGCAGTTTATTAAGACGCAGTTGTTTACAAAAGAGTGATGTATATCAGAGTAACAGCACTTTAAAATTTTGGGCAGGTACAATGTTATAATGTGTCTGTGTTAAAACAAACTACATGAAAAGTGACATTTTGTAACCTTGTCTTTAGTGGAGGCTGTACAACAAATGAGATTTATGTTCAGATCATTACATTGATCACAACAAAAATGATGCATTTCATATTTATATGGCAAATAGGTATAAACAAGTCTGGCACCGAGTTTCACACAATAAGTCTGTAAGTAAAAATAACACATAATCATGCCACAAGGTCTTATTTAGCACCAGCACTGGATGTGTGAATCACAATGGGGGGTGGCAATTATTTTTATTTTTCCTTCAAGAGTACACATTTTAGAGTAACTCAAATATCGTTCAGTGAAAATAAGCCCTGAACACAACGTACATATCGTGATACTGATTTTGACACTCTGTGTGAATTATCAAAACTCGTATATATAAAGTTCACCTCATTCCCATCGATCCAAAAAGGACAGTAAACTCAATGAATATGTCTCGTCTTTACATTGATCCATTACGCCACACTGTAAAGCAAAACGGGATGTAAAAGCTATATTACATGCTAATCTGATGATTAAAGTTACTATTAGTGCTTTGACTTGTCCAAAACCTTTTTTAATGCCTTGAAACTAATTTGAGAAAAATTTACAGTAAAGAAAGATGATTTAACATTGAGAAGTAATAGGTAAAAAAAAAAACAAAAACAAAAGTCACTTGGCTGAATTATTTTATTTCTACGTTGTCACAGGACTTAGGTACCATTGTTGGGTAATTTCAAATCAAACCACAATGTCTGTTTGTCAAAACTGAGGTTATTTTTATAAACAAATAATTTTAAATGGTCAAACTTTTTTTTAGGTCAACACAGAAGGTTGAGACTTAACTTTATAATGCTGTGATGTTTTTAGACCAAACTAAAAAATCTAAATGTTTTTTTGTTATTTTCACCTCGTTCACCGAGTTGGTTTCTGGATGGAGTGATATTCCAGTCATTTTCCATTCAAGTGCAAACAAAACCAATGACAAAATTAACCAAAATAAGCGCAGATAAAATCGAATTAAGAAAAATATAAAGACTTAAGGGGTTGGCGTTTGGGGCGGAGCGTTGTGCTTTCATTTGATAAGTTTGTAATCTATATATAAAAAGATTTGGCGTTGGAGCAGTTTACACGTAAAAGATTTATATATAAAGCTCGAAACAGAAACATTCACAGATTGACAAGAGTAGATCCGATTGACTTCTGTGTTGTGGCCAGACGTCTTTCAAACACATTTACTCTTTTTCTACAAACACAGCTGATCCAAAAAAAAAAAATCAAACACCTCCAACACAGGCCGTTCCTCATTCAATAGCTGCCATTACGCTGGTTGGCCAGGAGGGACATGTCAATGCACACATACAATAATACATTGCTTTGAATTATATACTAATGTATATTACAAATATGCAAAGTTTTCTCTTTTTTGTTTTTTTTTTGTCTCTCCGTACAAGTCATAAAAACATTTGTCAAATAAACTGAAATATATGAGGTCTACACATGCTGTAGAGTTTATGTACAGTAATATAAAATATAGACAATTACATACGAGTTTCTTCTCAACGCGCGCGCGCACACACACACGCACGCACACACACACACAAGGGTTCTCATTCCAATAGGATGTAATACACAACTTGTGTTATTTTCAAGAAATTGTAACAAATTGCATTTCTAGATTCAATTTGCTACAAAATAAAATAACAGCAATTTCCTACATTTACATGACTATTTGACTGAAATAAAAAAAAAGTCAAAATAATACAAAAGTGAGAAAAACAAAGAGGAATTTATAAAATAATTTTGTACAGTTATCTGAAATAACAACAGGTTATAGATTTCAAATTTACATTTCAAACCTATTTTTTTGAAACCGTTCTAGGTTGTGCTGTTCTGCTTTAAAAGGCATCGTTTCACACGTTTTTTTTTTTGTTTTGTTTTTTTTTATATCTGGAGATGTAACAAGTAACATAAGAGGTTAACATGAAGAAACAGCCACTTCAACCATAAGATCACAAAAAAATATCCCCAGAAATTTTGTTTGGGTGCCAATTACCAACTAGCAGTCCAAATGGACTATTGTTCAGTTTTCTATTTTTCGTGCGAAAAATAGGCAAAAATTGAACAAAAATATTATTTTTATATTATTTCCCAAATGATTGTTAATCTAACACCTTCTATCTCACAACTAAACTCAGGATACTTGTGTTTTCTGTACCTTTTCTCAATCTTCTAGCCAGCACTCCCACCACGGCGTACGACATCGACGGCGAAAGCTAAAAAGGGAGTAAAGCCGTCCTGGGAGAGAGAGAGCAGTTGAAACACTACTCATTAAATGTTATGATGCACAACATTTTGTCCGCACCTGATTATTTGGAACTACGCTGATATCGTTCACCACGAGATTCAACAAGTCACATAGAAAATGCTAGCATTAGCAAGCTGCACCTCATGAAAACACTGTCAGCAGAAGAAATGTGTGGGCTTATGAGGCTGTTTACGAAGACATATGTTTACAAACAAACGATAAAGTTATGCATGTTTCAGTGGTGCAGTTTTAGAACATTATATTAGCTTTCCAAACCTAGCTAACTGGTTGGAGGAGCAAATTGAGGCTTGCTATGTTCCCCAGTTGGAAAAAAAAAAAAAAAAGAGAGAAAATCTGTCAACATGAGCATCGTTTGTCAGTTGAATGCTGCTCAATCAATGATGTGGACGATGTAATTCTTATGAAATGTAGTGCTTTATTTTACCGCACACGGCGTTGATTCATGTTAAGTTTCGAACGGTGTGTAAATATTGCCAAATGCCTTTATTTAAATGACTCAGATCAGTTTTGCAGGCAAAAAAAACCTTCACTGGCATATTCCTAGTACTTACAGGTAGAGAGGTTAATAAATATATACAATACACAACAGAGCAGACACTTGTTTTGTTACACCACAACTGTCCTACAGTATTGGGTGTTGGTAGCAAATCTCAATTAGTTTTCCCCATTTAGTTGGAGACTGATCTGTAAGGCATAATTCTCGTCAAGGTTAGAGTCCCACCCCAACCAGTAAAACATTTTACATTGGGGCCGTTTCATACATCATAAAATGTTGATAAAGAAAAAAATATATATAAATCATAAATATATTTTCCAGCTGAATAAAAAGGCGGCGTCTTGGAGGCGTTTCTAACTATGTTGGGCTAAACAGCGATAAACTTCAAAAGACATTATTGCTTGCACAGTAAACACAAACTTTCCTCGAGTCCAGTGAGGCCAAGTGATGATGAACAGCTCAGAAACGTTTAGAAGACATGATCTGAAATGCGCGGTCCGTCCCAGGATCTAACCCCCCGAGCTACGGCAAAGCGTAGAAATCAAGCGCCTGCGTCGAAAACAAAATCTACAGCTTGTATTTCCATGGCATCGTTTGACTCAGGCACCTTTTTTCCAACACGACAGAAAAAGAATCACAACAAAGAGCACAAACGCAACGACGCACAAACGAATGTGGGCGGTGGCTTGAAACCACGACGGCATGCTGATCTCAGCAGCATCCAGCACCAAATTAAATAATGTTCAACAGGATTCTGGCTATTAGTTTAGAGTGCCACGTCTTAGATGGCACTTCTCTCATGCTTTCCCTATTGATCCCAATGACAGCACACTACTTTATGTTGTCAAAATGTATTGTACTGTTGAAGAAAAGGTCATAAGGGTGGACCTTATTGGGTAAAAAAAACCAAACAAACAAACAAACACAAAAACAAAAACAAAACAGGCCAGCCATGAGTAGATTGGAAGGCCAGAATCAAACAGTCAGAGCATTTGAAGGAAACCAGAAAACTACTTGGCCCGGCTCTGTGCTCAGGACACGAGCTACTCGGATTTATGACAGTAAAGATCCTTAAGTGCTTTCAGTTCTTCGATTAGCGTCTTGTTTTGGTTCTCCAGGACGGCGACTCTGTTCTCCAGACATTTAACATACTCCTTCTTCTTCCTGCGACATTCCCGGGCTGCCTCTCTGTAGGAAGGACGAGACACAGGTTTGTTTTTTTCGTACTGGCTCGTCTGTGCGAAAAGGGCTTGACGGGATGACAGCAACAATAAAGACGGGACCCATTTTTAAATCTGCAGTGAATCTTAATCGAGAGCCTGTTATAAATCTAGCAAACTAGTCATCCTGTTTACTATTGTGGCCCATTTTCCCGTTAAAACAACTCTGGGTTTTTTCTTAAAGGGGCAGTATCATGTGTTATCCAGGCACATAGTGCTAAAACATGGCACTATCAAGTAGCTATGTTAACTTTAGTTGTTTAAAAAAAATGCTGTACGTATCAAATACGACTTGGAAGAAATTTGACTTTGTAATTTAAAATGGGCCTCTGTCGCTTTAAGAATTTTGGGTCTTTCCAAAACTCCGTCCTCTATTAACGTTTTTACCAGCGTTGCATTGAGACGTGGCTCATATACTGAGCCCGGCTGATGAACAGGTCCACCAGGTGTTTGCTAATTGCTGCTGGCTAGTCTGAAGGAGCTGAATGCTCTGTGAGGTGGAAGCTTGGAGCTGGGTCTCAAAAACGGTGCTACGTCCAACCAGGCGATTTGTACAGCTGAACGATAGACACAGGAGATTAAAGGATTTCTCAAATATGCATGAAATAATCAAGGACACCCTCCAGGTATGAATGTGATGAGCGAATAACATCACAACATGATGTAAAGCTCAAAAAAGTCGATTTTACATAATACTGCCGCTTTAAGGCATTACTCCAACGCAAAGATGGCTGTCCGTCCGCTGCTCATACCTGTTCTTCATGAGTCGGACTTCCCGTTTTCTGGTGACTTCTTCTGTGGCTCCTTGTGTCGGGAGGGCGGGAGAGGACGCCATGACAACGCCAGGGGTGATGGTGTTGGCTGGAGCCGCTCGGATTTGATAGGCCTGAACATCGCCTGAGGTGGCTGTATGTGTTGAGTTAAAAAGAAAAAGCGTTTTAAACCTTATCTTGTAATAAATCCGCTTAAGGATAACTGGAATCTAACAACAGAAAATATCAAAGGTTCCTCAGGAATTAATAAAAAAATAAATAATAATTAGACAAAGGATCCAGCACTCACCTTGGACCACCACCTGGTTACTGGGAACCAGTATCTGCTGGCCGTCGCTGGTCTGTGCGTACTGCAGGATGGTGGTTCCCGGCTGGGCGGCCGCTGCAGCAGCGTTGGTCATGGTCAGAGTCTGAAGGCCCTGAACTCCATCTGTGCCGTTATTGGCCAGCTGAATGGCTCCGCCCTGCGTGATCGCAACTGTACGGTTGGAGGGACAGATGACATAAGAAAACATAAAGAGCAAATGAGAAACAAGAACAGGTATTTCTATCTCAGTACAAGTCTGTACTGTGGTCTGGTAATTTTGATTCTGATTTTATTTTTATTATTATTTCTGTTTATCTCTAGTTTTACTTTATTTTTTATTTCTACTTTTATTTTTTGTAAATAATATTGGCAAGTAAAAGAGAATGTCAGTCTTTCATTTCATTCACAACTTTTTTTTTTTTTTTTACCTTAGTCACCTTCTGGAAGTAATTTTTTTTCCACTTAATTCACTTGTGTGTGCTTAATGGCGTATTCTTTATCCAGGCAGATGATAATCTTTGTTCTAACAGAAATGAAACCTAAAGTACATCAGGTAATGGAGATTGCAGAAGTTGACGGCTTTAAAAGGCAAAGAAAGGATGCAGCAGTAACATTTGACATGTGATTTTAGATGCAGCGATATAAAAAATGTGGACTGATTTTGATATCTGATAATATCGCTGCTATGGCCAATAACCGATATTTGCAGATATTATGTACATTTCACAACCCCTCTAAGGTCCTCCTACAGAAAAAAAAAGGAAACAAGATAAAAAATTTATATTGGTTGTCAATATCAGGCCAAACCCGATAATTTAAAAAAATTACTAATATCGGCCGATACCGACATTAGTGCCGATATATCGTGCACGCCTACGTGCGACAGTCTATTTTGGCAAAAAAGACAATTTGCTTTCCCGTTTCTTATTTAGAAACAAACTGTACACACACGAAGCCAGCTGACACTTACTATACTGTCCACTGCTGGTCTGGTAGATGGGTGTCGGCACGGTAACGGTGGTGATGGCGGGCGTAGCTGCGGCAGCAGACGAGTCCTCCTCAGCCTTTTCCTCCTCGATTCGAGGGACCGCTGGCGCGTCAGACGAAAGGTCGTTCAGGATTTTCCTTTTGAGACAGGAAACAGTTGTGAGAATTCACAACCGCAGGTTTCTTGGTACAGATTAAACACAATAAGAGGTAAGCCAGAGTTATTGCAGCAAGTTCACTGACCAATACGCGAAGCTAAATAGTAAAAGGAGTAAAAAGCTAAACCTGAGCCGGTCCTGGAAAACATGAATTTATGCAAAATATTAGCATCATCTGGCATTATTCTGAGTCCTCCTGGCCAGTCTGGGTTACCTGTATGATGGACGCCGCGATAGAATCTCTCTGCGCTTCTGGGAGTCCGTCACGCTATCGACTGACTCCTGAGAGTCTTCGCTTTCAGCTATGGTGGAGATCTAAATTCAACAAATAAATAAACAAAACATGGTGCATGGATTAAACTCAACGTCCTGGACATTATTGCCCCACTTCAACTCAAAGCATGTTTTACCTGCACAGCCTGGACCTGGGGGGACTGGATGACGGACGGCTGTGCGGCCTGAATGACTCCATGAACCTGGACCGTCTGTCCATTTGGAAGCTGCACCAGCGTTACGGTGGGACCCGTTGCCGAGGCGTGTCCTGCTGTCATGGATACCTTAAACGCAGAGGTGTGACAACATTCTGTTCGATGGGAGCCGGCGTGAAATTTGCAGAAGTCCAAATTAGTGTCAGTCAACACCTCCTGTCACTCGATACATAATCCAGCCTTAAGGAGCACAGACTCTGTGCTCCAAACAGCAGAAAGCGTCCGACTGTCTCGTGTTACCTGTGCTAAAGTGGCGATCTGTGCTGGGGTGATCTGCTGGCTCTCTGTCTCAGTCACAGCAGTGTCCGCCGCCTGCTGAGTCTCGGCTGCTGGCTCCATCTTCATTGGCGAAGCTGAGGACGGGAAATCAGAGCCGAAGTGGGTGAAAACTGAGCTTTTGAGGAGAATCTCTTGGTCTATCTACATTTATTGGCATCCATGGGGGAAAAATGTTCAAGCTAAGAAATAATACTTTGGGGTTTTTTTCCTTTCCCAAAATTTCACTATTCTTTCAAATAAGTATTTGTGAGGCAAATCCACTTGAATATGATCAAAGTGTCAAGAGACCTTTAAATACTACACCAGTTTGGGTAGTATGGTGTAGGATCTGTGATGCAACCTTGTTACCTTCGTGGATAATTCATAGATCGGCCCATCATTGGGTTTTTCAGACACATAGTGAGCCAAAAGACTAATTTATTTTAAGGTGCTTTTCCATTTCTTCACCCTTTGGGGATGGTTTTAATCGAAAAAAATAAATAAATAAATAAATAAATAAATAAATAAATAAGCGCATTCATCAGGGGCGTCACTAGGCTTTAAAGAGGCAATATCAAGTGAAATTGACTTTGTTGAGCTTTACAGAAAGAGCAAGAGTTTTTAAAGAGACAGAGGTGCAATTTCAACTAATTAACTCAGGAAGTAAAATCTTTTATATCATATTTATATATATTGTTTCGCTATGTCACAATTTTATAACAACTGAAGGTAAAATAGTTACTTGATTGTGCTAATGAAATGGCACTATGTGTCTGGAAAACGCATAATACTTCTCTTTTAAGGACAAGGGGGGCTTAGCCCTCAGCTTTTCACTTTTGAGGAAAGATTTAACAGAGATACTTTACAATGTACATGTTTTAAGCAACCATAGCATATAACCAGAGCACTGTGTTGTCTCAAAGAGTATTGACAGCTTTGTGAAATAATGGGGGGAAAAAACTAGGAGGGGGAAAAAGAAAAAAAACACCACACTATTTTGGAGGGCTTCAGCCCCCCTAAAATAGGCTCAGTGACACCCCTGTCATCCAGGATTATGGTTTTAAAAAAACAAACAAACTAAAAAAAAACCAGGCAATTCAGATTTTTGGAATTGAATATGACTGCCTAGTAGGTCTTTTTATTAGTAAAGTAACATAAAAGGACATACAAATGACAAACATTTACACATCAGAAATTAAATTATCCACATATGGACTCTGTTTTTATTTATTTATTTTTTGTAAATTAGGAACAGAAATGTAAAATATAAGAACGCTCTGACAAGCTGAGCCAGATCCGAGGTCTCCGTTTTGAAATAATACCAATCAGAAGCAGCCTGTCGATGTAAATCTGACTCCGGTGATCAGTAGGTGTGCTGAGGCCGCTGCTGATCTGGAACGTGTTGTTCCCTGTTCTCGGTGATCTCACACTGTGCGTAGCGTCTCTCCGCCGCATGATTGGCTTTACACATTTCTCCCTCTGCTTTTCAAAAATCACTTGGACGCTCTGCGAGTGACAGCCCAGCCACATGGCCGGGCAACGCCCCCCACCCAAGGCGAAAGGTTTACGTCCCAGGAGATGGTTCCCCCCCCCCCCTCCAAAACATAAAATGAAAACGCTGTGCGACAAAGAAAATGATTAAGCGCTACAAAGAAAAGAAAAAAAAAATCTTCATGTTTTTAGAGTCGGCCAAAGAGGAGGGCTCTAACGGAGAAAACTTCATGGATGGAAAAAGAATAATAATAACAGAGCTGTTTGAAGACGGGGCGTGGTGAAAACGTTTTAGAGGGCAATAAAATAAACGGTTAAAAGTTGGAGGAAACAAACGGAGTATATCGAGTGATTTTCATTGCACCTTTTTAGAAAACGGCGCAAAAATTTGCGCATGTAGCGGCGTTTACACTGTAGCAGCCTTTGGCAGTTGAGCGCGATAATGACGCATTAACAGTTTATAATGTGTTAACAAACAAAGTGGCCGCCTTGCTTCACTGTCAAAGCGGCTCGGGTCCTCAGATTCTCCCAAACAGCCGCAGCCTCCCCTCCCTCCATCCTGCTACAAACACACCGCGGCGCCATGATCTCTTTGTTTCCTTCGGACCGAACCCGACCAAACCGACACTTTCAGCGGCCACCTCCCGTCCCTCTGAACCCCGGACGTCCCTTCCTCCTTACCGATACAGACACCCTTTCGTCACTCCCGGGTCTCCGGAGCTCCACTTTTATTCTGGCCGACACGTAAGAGCCCGCGTCAGGCTACACCTCCGCCGCGTCACCGGGAACAACAACACGGAGATTGGAGAAGGACGAGAAAGCAGATGGCGACGCTGACCGGAAACAAACGAAGCATCGACGAAGAAGCCCGGGAAATCCCGAGGACATCCGGATCATGACGACACTCGCCGCCTGGATGGCGCTTCAGGAATATTTTTGATTTTAGTTTAACATGGAGGAAAAACACACACACACACAAAATCATACACATGTGTATCTAAAAAAAACACAAACACATCACGGTGAAGTTAAGTTATTATTATTATTATTATTATTATTATTATATTAATAATAATAATAATAATATTATTATATTATTAATAATAATAATAATAATTGTAATAAAGTAATATAATAACAATAATAATATTAGTTCATATTATTATTTTAGAGTTCGAGGAAGATTACTGCTGTCAGTGATTTTTAGGCATTCTAGCAACATTTCAAGAGTTGTGTCATCAAAAAATACATGCAATCGAAAAAAAGCCATAAAGTAAAATTCTGATAATACCAAGAAGATCATGGATATTACATTCAAAATAATCATTATTACAACCAGTTAAAAATTGTGAAATTTTGGGTTTATTTGTGTTCCTTAAACACACATGCTGATGGTTGTGATCCTAAGCAATCCATTTTTTGAAGCTATTCACCAAAAATGTTCAAAGATCTTTTAAGTTCTCCCTGATTAATACAAAAATGTGGTAGACATGTTTTATTCACACAAGAGATCGCATTTATAACAGCAGATCAGGATAAAAACATTATATATTCTGCTTTGAGACAAAACAACATTCTGCTCATATTTTTTCCTTTTTTAATTTGCCTGAATCATCTTTTGGAAATGCGGGTTCTTATTTATTTATTTATTTTTGCAAAAGTCACTTTTGGCACAAAATGACAGGCTTTTATTTTAGGTAGGTGACGATATCAACCTCATTTCTGTGAAATGGAACACTTTGTGCAACCATAACTGTTTCCACTAGGTGGCAGCATAAGACCAACGTACTTCAACAAGTTGCAGGTATTTATGTAAAATAGAATCAGTGTGGATCAGTTTTGAAAATTTCAGCCAGAATTCATTCAATAACTTGCAAACATATATATATGAATAGATTTCCTGCTTCACTTTTTTTTTAAGTTAGAATGTCATCAAAAAGTTAATATGTCTCAGTAGATAAATTCAAAAAGTGAGTCATATTTTATATGGACTAAATACACACATTGCAATGTCTTTTAATTGTTTATTTCTCTTCATTTTGACAGATATAGATTACATTGAAATCTATTTGGCTAATGAAAATCCAAAATTCAGTTGTTGTTTTTTTTTCAGAAACTGAAGAACAAAAAAAAAATGCATAAATGCTATGCCACGCCATGAAAGGAGAATGTTCTCTAACGAGTGCTGTAGTAAAGTTTATTCTGGGAAAGTCAATTGGCAAATAAAAAAGGTACAAAAGCAAAAGGGTTCACCACAGAATTGAAAGGTGAAGCAAAGCAGTTTGGGAGAGAAGAATGAAGACACACAGAAGCTAAGAAGGCTGATGTGGCACATTTTACAGAGCACTCCCCTCAGCTCACAAGGTTTGTGGAGTCAATTTCATTTTCAAGGATATCTTAGCACCTCTGATTCAGTGACTATCGCATCAACGTATTTGATTGGTTAGCAATCTCACATGATGTAATCCCTATAGAGACACCAACGCCTCGGATGCAGACAACCTGAGGGCTCCCTTAAAGGCAGGCCAAGCTTCTTTAACAACTCAGCAGGGCCGCAGCTCTCCAACGATGCAGTAATTCATGCAAAATGAGCGAGTGATGAATGAATGGGCTGCAGAGGATATGGAGATACTTTTCAGCCGATACATCTGTGAAATACTGAGTGAGTTAGCCTGAAGCTATGTTTATGGTTCGTTTTATTTTGCCTTTAGTGGACACCAGAGAATCAGCCATTATTAAAGCCACACGCCAACCTTTTCGGGAAATCAATAGAACTCATCTTATATAATTTTGTCGACATGCCAGGTTCGGTTTTGTTTCAAGTTGCTATTTAAGCAAGATCAAAACTCCCCAAAAGCTTCCTCTCACACACGGTGACATCATAAAAGGCATTTGGCAGCAGATCAGTACTTAAGTTTGTATATATCATTTCCCTCTTTATTTAAAAGGTTTGAATCCAGGTCCTTTCTCGAAGGTGTTCAGTTGTACGGCTGCATAAATTTGAGCAGAATATTAGAATTATCCGTGAATTTTGAGACGTTTTTGTAAACGTCTCAAACGTTCCACACGAAAGTGGAACGGAAGGTTCTGAGTTTGGACAGTGTGTGGTTATTCAGTGACAAATAAAAAAATAAAAATAAAAAAAAGAAAGAAAACAAAGATCTCAGCTTTGCGTCAGATGGCATCCAGCGTTTGGACACTTCAGATAAAAATGCGAGTTGCTTCCACCGTAACGAATATGTTCTGTGTTCATGTTTACCATGCATTTTTTTAAAATCCACAGCTCAAGCAGAAGTGACAACAGATTGATGCACGCAACATTACAAAATCAAATTTGTTTCATTTCATTGTGTTTTCCTGCATTATTGTAAGATTTATAGATTTCATATAGCTTACAGTATGCGGTATATATGTCTAACACATATTGGTCCATCCTTTCCTGTGTGTTCACATGTGACATGTATGTAACATCTAACATAGATGTGTCTATATAGTGATTTCTATGTGGGGGGTTTAGCTCTTGTGACGTCATTAACCTTATTAGCCAATATTTTTTTATTGTGCACTTTTGATACTCCTCCATATTTTCTCTGTCAGTGTACATTTAGTGTTAAAGAACACACCACTGGATTTATCTTTAACATTACCCCCTTTTTGACACATCTCGCCTCCCGTTTCGATATATTCCTTCTCAGCCTGGTCCTCCACGTCTGCTCACATGGTGGCGCTGCAGAGTCATGCAGACCCGTCTTCTTCCATGTGTTCAGCAGCACATGCAATCCTCCTCCATCCCCCGGCCAGAACTGCTGCTGTGCCATCTCGCAGATACGTGGAGTTTATCAAGGCAATTCTTTTTATAATCCTCCTGATGCTCGTTGCAGGTGTTTTATCTGTTTAATAGCATTTTACTGCTACATGCCGTAAAAAACACCCTTTTTATGGTGGCACCAAACACATTGTTTGGGGAATTGACCCTGCCTCTGTAATGACCAGCAGTAAATTTGTAGTCAGTTATAAAAGAAGGAGGAGGAGGTGGGGGTGGGGGGATGAAAAAAAAACATGGAGTAAAAGGAGGGTGGAGGGGGTGCAGGAGACAATTTTAGTCTGAGGAGAGGCTGGATGTGTTAGAGGAAGCTCTCGGATTAAAGCTTTTTAACACTTTGGATTTTTTCCTCCTGCTCGACAATATCTTAACATAATAGCTGTATTTGTAAAAGCTATGTTCTAATGCTAAAACATAACGTCTCATGTCTAGAAATACAGTTGAAATCAGATATTAAGGCATGCCAAAAAAAAAATAAAAAATTCTCACCGTCTCACATTATCAGATTAAACTTCTCCTGTTTTAGGACCGTAAAAGATAACAAGAGGTATTTCTAGCTGCTAAATGCCAGATTTCATAAGAAAGGATTTTCAAAGATAAATTGTGTAATGGCCCTGCAAAGTCAGATTTCTGTAATACTTGGCAGGATTGCCTTTTAAGCTGTACGCCTTGAATGATTTCCACACAGTTTGTTGGAATTTTGGCCTATTCCTCCTACAGAACTGGTGTATTTTAGATTAACGCGGTAGGTAGGTGGAAATTGCTTCCAGGGATCAACCAAACATGTGAAGGTCCATCCATCTCCTCCTGATATCTAGGCTGATTTCTCCATGATGTAATTCAGAGAAGTGGCATGCCTGAAGTGTTGACTTATAAAATACATCCGCAGGCCTGCCTCCACTTAACTCAAATATTGTGAACTAAACTTTCAGACACGTAAAGCCATAAAGTTATTAGATAATTTTTTTGGGGGAGTATTAACTTATGTGTAACAGAAAAAGTTTAATGTGATTTCATGAGAGATAGTAAAGAAAAAAAAAAAGTTCTGCAGGATTTTATACATGTTACAATACCATGATCCGATGGTAAAGTAACAACCAAAACGCCAGTCTGATTGTCGTATTTGAAGTGTGTTAGCATCTGACTGGCCTGTAAAAACTATTTTGATTTTATGTTAGAAAGTTAAATCTTTGGTCACGTTTAAGTCCGCTGCGTCTTGTTGTCAACTTTAACACAAGATGGTCGTTGGCAACACTACCACTGTCAGCGTGTCCTGATCCATGACGCCATGCCTGTGGACTTCCAAAGGTGAACATGGCTGCACACGGTTTGCTGTTGCATCCAGTAGCTCCGGGGCCTTCGTCTGCCCTCTGCGCTGCTAGCCCTGCAGTTAGTGATTAATGAAGCCAAATGAGCTGGATTCCAAGCTTCCACTTCCCCTCTTTTAGCCTCCAGAGGAACTACGACCCGGGAGGCTTCTCAGGTAGAACCGCGTCTTTCTGCAGGACATGTGAGACGAAACAGGACGCACTTTATGTTACGTTTTTTCATGTTTTGTCAACATACAAACCTCACTGAAGGAAGTGGAAGGAAAGTTAGCCACAGCTTTCACATTTAGGAGAACCTTACTCTGAAAAAAACAGCTGAGAGGCCCAGGGCAACTTTGGAGGAGCTGCAGAAAGCCACAGCTCATCTGAGTGGTTACCACAAATGGATGAACGACGTAAAGTGCTTTGGAGTCCTCTGGATTAGATAACGTGCTGCATAAGTACACAGCAAAAACATTTAGCCGTTTCTGCCCCACATCCACATGGAGGCGCCGTTTTAGGGGAGCCAAAACATTCCAGAGTGAATGTATTCACGTGGACAGTGAAGAACGTCTCTTTTGTTAAAACGCAGACATATTTTACCAACCCCTAACTCAGGAGTGTCAAACTCAATTTCATCCAGGGCCACTTCAGCATATTGGCCACCCTCAATGGGCCACATTGACGGTACAAATCAGGAGTGCATCCCT